ATGTCCTATCTTCTTAAGGTCTATCAAAGTGAATCCCATTTCATCAGTTTGAACACCAATATTAATATCAATCCATTTACATTTGAATATAGGAACTCGAATTGAATGTAGTCAACCTCCCAAATCTCCTCAATCACTCCAAAGTAACTCATAGACGCCATAATCGGGTTCTTATCCTTTGAACTAGAAAAGTGCATGGATGTCGCCTCAATAGATACTCCACTATTTTGGACTGTACTTTTTTCATCTTGTAACTTTGTGTAGAATGAGTATTTGTTAATGTCATACCCAGTCCAAGTCACGACGTTCGTTTAGGACCATGTGCTAGCCATTTCAAAGTATCGGATGCATTGTCCTCTGAAAAGATTTTTGTTTTAAACCAGCTAACAAAAGTATTATTATGTTCATTAACCAACCACCGCTCACTCATTTTGGGGTTGAGGGCCATCAATATTGATTGATGAGCAGATATGTAAGGAAGAACTTCATCTGTGTTATTCAGAATATACAAGTGTGCCCTGGTCAACTCACTAGCATTTTTTGATTGTATTTTTACCCCATGAGTGCCCTTACCATTTATTTTATGATCATGTCGTTGAGTAGGTACACCCACCGCTAGGGCCTTTCCTAAATATTCAGAACAAAATTCTATAGCTTCTTCTCGCAATATACCTTTCAACAATAGAAGCTTCGTGTCTATATGGATTCTTTGTATACCCTTTGAAGATCTTCATACATCGCTCAATTGGGTACATCCACCTCAAATAAATCGGACCACACAGTCTTATCTCTCTTACAAGATGAACTATTAAGTGCACCATAATGTCAAAAAATGATGGAGGAAAATACATCTCCAACTCGACATAATATAACCACAGCCTTCATTTTCCAACTCGCTCCAATGATTTTTCATCAACTACTTTTGCACATATAGCATTGAAGAAGAAACAAAGACGCATAATTGCATGTCGTAGATTCTTTGGCAATATGTCACGTATAGCTACGGGTAAGAGTTGTTGCATCAAAACGTGACAATCATGCGACTTTAACCCAACTAGCTTCAGATCTTTCATGGACACAAGGCTCTTAATATTTGAAGAGTATCCTTGTGGCACTTTAATACTCGTGAAGACAACGACATAAACTAGTCTTCTCCTTCTTTGACAATGTGTGACAAGCTCGGTGGTAAATATGTTCTCTTGCCTTCGTGTCTTGGATGTAATTCTGGACGTATTCCCAACTCACATAGATTTAGACGAGCTTTGACTCCATCCTTTGTTTTTCCTTTAATGTTCAATAGTGTGCCAATGAGACTATCAAATACATTCTTCTCCACATGCATAAAATCAATGCAATGTCTCACATCTAGATGACTCCAATATGGAAGGTTAAAGAAAATTGATCTCTTTTTCCACAAGCTTTTATCGACGATCTGCTTTTTAGTCTTTCCAAAGACAACATTAATGTTTCTAACCCGTTCATAAATTTGTTTACCAGCTTAAAGGTTGTTTGGCAATTTTATCTTCTTGCTCGACCATTAAAAGCTTTCTTCAATCTTCGATATGGGTGGTTATGTGGAAGAAATTTTCCGTGCCTATTATACACAGTCTTTTTTCCATGCTTCAATTGTAGAAAACTTGTATCTTCCTCACAAATAGGACAAGCATGATGACCCTTGACACTATACCCACTCAAGTTTCCATATGCTCGGGAAGTCATTGATAGTACAAAATAACATTGCATGTAACTTGAAGCTCAGCTGTTGATATGCATCAAACACATTCACTCCTTCCTCCCACAATAGCCTTAAGTCATTTATTAACGGACTTAGATAAACATCTATGTCATTACCCTACTGTCTTGGACCTGCAATCATGATGGATAACATCACGTACTTGCGCTTGAAAATCAACCATTGTGGAAGGTTGTAAATCACTAAAAGAACTGGCCATGAGCTCGTGATTACTCGGTTAAGTTACCAAAAGGATTCATGCCGTCTCGTGGCTAGTCCAAGTCTAACATTTCTTGCATCACCGCCAAAACTTAGAAATAGGCGAGTCAATTTTCTTTCACTCGTGGAGAATCGGCCGGATGACGAAGCAATCCATCACGTTTTTCTGCAGTTGAATGCCATATCATATTCTTGGCATCTTCTCCATTGGCAAACAATCACTTCAATCTTGGAATAATTGGAAGATACCATATAACTTTTGCAGGAGGTCTCTTTCTATCAATATATTCGTTATTATCATCCTTGTCTTTCAATTTGTAACGCGATACACCACATCTTGGACACTCATGTAGGCTTTCAAACTCTTTTCTGTATAATACACAATCATTAGGGCAAGCATGTATCTTTTTATACTCTAAACCCATTGGACAAAGTATTTTTTTGGCTTCATACATACCATCAGGCAAGGTGTTATCGCTTGGGAGCATATCTTTCAAAACTTCTAGTAACTCAGTGAAACTTTTATCACTCCAACCAAATTTGGCCTTCAAATTGACCAATCTCAATACAGCTGACAATCGCGTGAATGTTGTACATCCAAGCATACAAAGATATCTCCGAATCTATCTTCAATTTATCATAGACATGCAGCATGTGCTTGCAGAAAATTTTCTTGACCTACATCACGAATCATGTCTTCTATTCGATCTTCCATTGTCATGTCCTCCTCTTCCTCGACTTGTGTTACTATTGGTGTATCAATCACTTCACCATGCCATGTCCATACGATATAATTCTTCATTATCCCATCACATAAAAGATGTTCCCGTATTGTCTCTAGTGTGTGTACTCTCCCATTAACGCAGTTAACGCATGGACAATACAATTTTCCATTAACCTTGGTGCCATTGTGTTCGGCAAATCGCAAAAATTCTTCAACTCCATTTTCATACTCTTGTGAAATACGACTTGCATTTACCCAACTTCGATCCATTTTGGAATTGGAGTCTACAAATGAGAAACCAATAAAACTACATTGTTACTACGTACCATCACTTATATAACTACATTGTTATATGTAGTTTCCATGTTATACGTAGTTTCCATAATTCACACTTCATGATTAATTTCTAACCAAAATCTGACAGAGTTTCCTTTGTTTTTTGGCAACAATTTTAAATGACACAGTGAAACCTGCCAATAAAAAGCCCCTTGGGCATATTCAAGCAGATCCAAGTATAATTGTACACATCATCAATACATTGAAAAAAACTATATTCATCTTAATTTTAAAAGCTGTATCATTATTTGTCTTCACTTGACTCGGAATGAGCTGAAACTTACATCTAATCACTATTTTATGGGGACAAAACGTATAAACAATTAAAACAACAGTTAACGGCCAACAATAACATGACTAAGAATCTCTACCTATGAATTGTAGTAAGTAAAATTTTATTACTTAAACTTTTTGCCCAACAAATATAAGTGCAAGAACATCGTACCTGTGGGTTAAGGCGACGAATGAAAGTGCGCACCACGTAGAAAGAGAGCGAGTGTTAGTGGTCGACGCTGCAGTGGGGTGGAGGATGCGGTGTGCCGTTAGGGTCGAGGCTGTGGTGGGCTAGAGGTGGACAATGCAGTGCGGGCGGAGGCTGCGGTGGGGGTGGAGGTTGGGCGACTAGCGTCGCGGTGGGCTGGAGGGTGCGGTGGGGTGGAGGTGGAGGCTACGGTAGGGTGTAGGTCGAGGCTGCAGTGCGGCTGGCGTCCAAATGAGGGTGCTAGGTGGTGGCCGCGATGCTGGAGAGTAAGGGGAGATACAAAAATGTTAGAGATGCATGTATCCTTTTATATAGGAAAATGGGTTTTCCACGTCGGTTATAATCCCACCCGACGTTGAAAGACCTTTAGATAGCGGTTCTACACTAAACCGCTATTATATTCTCACTTTGAAGAGCGGTTTAGGAGGAACCGCTATCATATCTGCACTTTTAATCGTTATGATCGATTAAATTGCCCAAATAATCGATTATTTTTTACTTTAGATAGCGGTTCCACAGTTAACCGCTATTATATGCTAACTTTGAAGAGCGGTTGAGGAGGAACCGCTATCATATCTGCACTTTTAATTACTCCGTTATGATCGATTAAATTTTCCAATAATCGATTATATTTTCAAATAATTGATTTTAGATAGCGGTTCTACACTAAACCGCTATTATATTTACACTTTGAAGAGCGGTTTAGGAGGAACCGCTATCATATCTGCACTTTTAATCGTTATGATCGATTAAAATTCCCAATGATCGATTATATTTTGAAATAATTGACTTTAGATAGCGGTTATAATTGACTTTAGATAGCGGTTCCACAGTAAACCGCTATTATATTCACACTTTGAAGAGCGGTTTAGGAGGAACCGCTATCATATCTGCACTTTTAATCGTTATGATCGATTAAAATTCCCAATGATCGATTATATTTTGAAATAATTGACTTTAGATAGCGGTTCCACAGTAAACCGCTATTATATTCACACTTTGAAGAGCGGTTTAGGAGGAACCGCTATCATATCTGCACTTTTAATCGTTATGATCGATTAAATTTCCCAATAATCGATTATATTTTGAAATAATTGACTTTAGATAGCGGTTCCACAGTTAACCGCTATTATATGCTCACTTTGAAGAGCGGTTAAGGAGGAACCGCTATCATATCAAGGGTTTTCAACGTCGGTTGAGGATATAACCGACGTCGAAAACCTACTTTTCACGTCGAGCATGCTAAAATGACGTAGAATGTGTCAAAATTCAACGTTCAACGTCGGTTGGTGAACAACCGACGTTGAAAGTGTATTCAACGTCGGCTAGAATTTAACGGACGTTAAACAGTGACGTTGAAAGTATATTTTGTAGTAGTGTCAGGCCCTATAATAACGTAAGTAAACATTTTGTTTTTAATATTAATATTTAATATTTTTCATCTTTTTATTATACATATATCCATAATATATAAATACGTACATAAACAAAAGTACTAAAATTCCGACATCGGTATCATCCAATTTTGTTGGACTGGGATGCCACGCTACTACTTTCTTCCACGTCTCACCTCTTTTCCCAATAAAATCTTGTACATAAACATTTTTCTTATCTGATCTTGAAATTTTGAGCACAAAAATTCACATTGTTTTAATCAAAGGTAGGTTAAGATTACATCATTTAAATCCATTGACTTATTATTCACTTTTAAATTATGTTATGTTATAATTTTAAATATGGAAAACTGATACTTGAGTTGGATAATTGTTGACTGTCTCAACCAAAAAAAAATATTTAGTACATCTTGTACTGGACTCGAATGACCCAAACTCAACTTGTTTGTTTGTTATTGGTAAAGAAGATAGACAATAAAAATAAAAGGTGAGACAAAATTAGATGTTGAGAAATATTAATGTAATTGTAAATTTTCTAACATGTATTCTTGTGTAATATATTATAATGCACAAAAGAAATTTTTGTTTTTCTTGTGTACTGCAAAATTGCACTCCATGCCTTAACTAAGTATGCAATGAAAACTTGTTTTTATTGTGTTATTCATTACCTAATAAGAACACGTTTCCGTAAAAAAAAACCTTATAAAATAGTGCAACATTCAAAGATTAAAAAAAAATAGTGAACAGCAAGGCCCAATAGTTTTGTTTTTCTTTTCTTTTCTTTTCTTTCTGTATCCATCTTCATCTAAAAAATAATATTATTCTTAATGTAAATAAGTTATAGATTCATTCTGAAAACTTTTTACAATAAACTTTCTGACAAAATTTCGAAAAATTCAATCCAAAATATTTTCAAAAAGCTCGTTATAAAAAAATTTTGCAAGAGTGAATTCAAAACTTAAATTATACGTATGAAAAATCAGTTTTGAATTTAACTTTTTGGAAACTTTTTAGATTAATATTTCTGAAATGATAAAATTATGTTCCAAAATTCATAATTCAAAACTTAAAAAAGTTATATATTTTTGGATCCATTCATCCAAAAACTTTCAGATTTTTCAATTCGAAATACCCTTTAATATGTTTTTAGATCTGTCATTCCATAAAATTAAGTCTATTCAAATAAATATGGGGGTGGAGGAAGAAAATACAGAGGTATAAGGAAAATGGGGTTTTTTTTTTGAACGTTCATTTTTTGTGAACGACATTGGATGGAAGCCCAAACAAAAAGTCTTCAATTAGCCCCACAGCCCCAACGTAAATCTTTTTGTCCCTTCTAACAAAAAGTGTTGTAGTTGAAGACGACATGCTATGATTATATTAATTAACAACTATTTGTAAATCAACTAATCAATTCAGAAGAAACCCAAAGGAGTAAGTACTATGGCACCTTTTATACTACTTTCCCAAGTTACAAAATTCAATGTGAACATGGTACTGAAATGATTAAAATCATGTAAAACAAAAGTTTTTGACTAAGTGGTGTGTTCTAAGTTTAGAATTTAAACCTAACTTCTCTTGCTAACTAAGTAGTTCCTTTTCACCTTTAATGTAGAGCAATTCAAAGTGGGGATTGGTGAACCCATTTTGATTGATCCAAGACATGTATTATATAATTAATCCCCCGTTGAGATTCTAACTCACAATACTAATATGGTGTGACTCAAACCCAACTCAACTTTTTTTACCCCCACGTTATAAAAGTATTAAGCCTATTTGATTCTCAAGCATAAATAAACACTTTCCCTACGCACACATGACAAAATAGAAGTCTTGAAGGCACATTTTTTCAAAGGTTGGTGCCATTTTTTTAATCTTTTGAGCATACCTCGAGTTGTTCCACCCTAAAATTATAAGTCATCGTTTTAGTCTAAAATATTTCTTAGAAGTATTCTGAAGGTTTAAATAACCAGAGTAGTCCTCTAAAAAAATAATAACTTTAATATTCTTTATAAATGAAGATATTAACATTTTAATTTGTTTAGATATTTAATGATGAAAAATTTATTATACTATTATGCATGGGCTCTCTGTGGGTTAAATGTTTCAGAATGCACTATGCATGGTGACATCTTTTTCTGTCTTAATTTCATTTGCCTGAGCAGTGTGATAGTGATGATAATTAAAGATAGTGTGAAGAAGACTAAAGAAAATGTAGCCTAGCTAGGCATTTTACACATCATCTTTTTACGCTTTTAACAAAGTAAAGGAATGGTATAATGAACACTATGATTATTGATGACTAAAAGGAAAGATTGGAATAACTCAGTGATATCTTTCTTTCCATTCACCATATATATAAAAATTAGGTCCTCTTTCCCCCTATGTATCTATCTATCTATCTATGCATTTTCGTTGTACTTTCTCAACTCTTCTCTTTAATTACTTCCTCTTTATTCCTTCACAATTATGCAATCTGATACAATCTTTCGGCCTCTCCTCTTTCTGTTATTATTCCATCTTTTCTTAGGTTTTCATTGCGCTACACTATACATGCAAGCAAGAGCGCCACCAAAACTCACCACCTTTTTCCACACCCTAAAAATCGTATTGTATATTGCCATTATAATATTACATCCACACTCAGAATTTTGTCATATTTGATGCCACGCCAAACCACTTCCACTTCCATTTTCCTTTTCTTTTTCATTGCATAAACGAACTAATGAATTTCAGACATGTCATGCGGCCTTCACAACAGGTTTTTTGTTGGTACTTCATGACATTGACTAGGACAAGATATTAAAGTTTATCCATGACATGTAATATATGAGGTTATTCTAACCATACAATATTAGTGAATAACTTGTATTTGATTTCATTATAACCGAAAGTCCGTCCAATTAATCACATTCATAAAACTGGAAACGGAGTTAATCTTTATCTCAGTGAATTAAGAAAAACTGTTGGCAAAAATATACAATATTAGAATAAATACTGCTTAATTAGAACTGACTTTTAATATACTTACTGTTCAAGTAAATAAACATTTCACATATGATAGTTTGTGATTAGATGCTATTGTAAATTTTTTGTGAATAACTCATTTTTTTCGTAATATATATATCATAAAGTGAGCAGTGAGTAATGAGTAATGGGGTGAGAAATAAAAATTGATGTTGAAGAAGTGGCAATGAGGTGGGGTGATATAATAGATGGAGATGGTGGCTCTGCAGAGTCTTGATGATTAAGCAGGCGACCCTTTTGTCTCCACTCTGTCACTACAGAGAGGTCCATTGCAGGCACTATCACAAAGCATGAATAAAGAACGCCACGACACCCACGCTTGACGCTCCTCCTCCAAACTCTAGCTACCTCTTTCTCCACCTTTTTATGGCATCCAAAGAGGGAAAATTCTAGTACGGGACAAAAAGCAACATTATTTTAAACCTACACGATACAGATTATAATAGCTGAACCTTCCAAGTATCACCCCGAGTAATAAACTCATAATATATGCAAATTGCCCATACAAGGTAAACACCAAGTATGTATGTGAAAAAGAATGAAATTAATTAGGTGAATGGCGAAGTGACTATATCAATGAGTATATATAATTATACGTAGTACATGCTAGCTAACCAGACTTGTTAATCATGAATAGTGTACAACACAATTTATTAGCCAGAAGCAAAATGATCATATGGATGGGACTTGTAAGCATGATATTTGTTATTGAGATGAGACATATACATAGTTAAGTGTACGTATTGATGCTGAGTCCTGGCGCCATCATTTTTGTTGTATATAAGCTTCTCTTTTTGTTGCTTTTCTTCCTTACTACTTTTCTTTTTATTATCTGTCTTTTATTCTTTTAGCAAAAATCACTGTAGAATGGGGACAATGAGTACCTCAAGGACTTGAGCTTAGTGCTGTGTCTTGTATTCAGCATCGAAATCTCAGAAACCATATCTGGGAACTCAGAATCATTCCAGCTTTTGAACCTTTTATCATTTCAGGGGCCTATATTAATAAACCTTTTTGCAGTTACCCCACGACCATATTACTAAATTTACAAACAAAAAATATATAAAAAGTCTCAATGGTAGTACTCTATATATCCTTTTCATATGGCCACCTAAAGTGGAAAATTCCTCAACGAAAAGAGTTGGTAAAGAGGTGGATTCTACATGCTACATGCACAAACCCCCAAGCCCTACCATTTACTGAGGGGGAAAATAATTTTTTGGCTTTTGGATTATATACTTAGGATTCCTCATTCCTCTCACTTTAATTCTCATTCTGTTTACATGTAAAGGAACTACGTGGGGGAGGTCATTTCTTTTTTGTGAGATAAGGAAGCAAGACATGGAAAGTGCCCTGCAAAGTTTAGCATACACATTTCAGACAAAAATATGATAAAAGCATTTGTGTCCACATAGAAAAATTATTGCATAGTTAAGATATACTTTCTAATCAAATTTTCATGTGTTACACAATTGACCAAATCTATAAATACGTAATAATATGTGACTATGTAATAATATCTGGTTGAATTGATTTCCTTGTTATAGGGTGGACATGTAATCCTCTCATATATATCATGAGTCTTAATAAGGTTAATTACTGTTTAAATTTAAGATTTGGTGACCATAATTACTGTGGTCATTCATTTCTATGCATGCCATAATAATGGGTAAATTATAAGCTATAGAAAGTGATCATGAACACACCAAATTCCCATATATATACTATTATTTGGCCCTGGATCATGATGGAGGATTAATGGTGGGAACTAATGGCATGACAAAATCCACAAATTCTCACATAGTTCTCCAACTTTTGTGACGGGTTCACATCTCTTCCCGTGCCCCAATCTGCGGGTATGACAGGCTGACAGCCACCCTCCTTATCATATATATCTCCACGGGGCCCTAACCCGTTAATTATGTCTTTCATATGTATCCTCAAAAAATTGTAAAGAGGAAACTAGTTTTTCTTTGGTATGTCAAACAGTTGATTTGATAACTTTTATTTGGAATGTGTAAATTAAAATTTAATTTAATTTTTATATATTTTTAGTGTAAAACCATCCGCTTTTGTTCAGCCATAGAAACAACCCACGCACCCTAAACTAAATCTCATTCATTATTTAAGGATATCATAAAATATAGACTAAAAATCTTATATTTGCCGTAAAGTTTACTCATTGTGTTCTCATAGCTTTTATATATTTTAATATATACTAACGTATCAAAGCCTTTTTCTTGCACTTCCGGACAATTAGAGATTAATCTTTTTGACGTGAAAAGATTAAAGTAGAGACAACCTTTCTTAACAAAATCGCCTTCCTATATGACTAGGAATCATCAGTAAAGTAAAGATGTTTAAAAAATTTAATTTTTCACCACACCAGCTTTTATTGGTTATTTGTAGTAATTCTTAGTGCCTTTCTTGAGACAAGCTATGCATATTCCCTTCTTAGATCAACAGTGTCGGGGTTGGTTTATGAATTAGCTTTGCATTTGGGTTAAAGAAATCAATACTACTCCTCTACACGTGCATTTCTTTAATTGATTGAAGAATTTGGAAGGGACCGAGCTTTATGGCTAGAGATAAACAAAGTTTTAATGGTAATATCGTCTTTTTGTCCGTGGCTTCTCCTAATATCTTCCCCTTTAATAATGTTACGAAGCAGGCTTTTGATTAATGTTAAGATTTTATCACACGCTCTCTAGATTTATCATTGTGTTGATTACGGGAAAAGATGTGATTCCTTCAGTGCAAATTTATATATATGATAGGTTATATTAAATCCCTGTGTGTATCTCTTTCACAATAAACATTAAATGGCTGGATCCATATTTTTCGATCTATCTAGAGAGAAATAGGTATAAAATTTTAACATGACTTATCTGGTTAAAATTCGATAGGAGTGAATCCATTTTCTTCACGATTTACCAGCTGCCCTGCAATTGTTTGATCTGAAATACCTGCCCAGTGGGGAAGATTATTGATCTGATAATTAGGACTTCATACAAATTTATGGCTCCCACCAGGTTGACATATTGCAACATTGCATTAATTGGTTAAGCAGACTGCCATTACCTTTAATAAATTGACAAGTGGAATATAAAATGGTTCATTGGGGGATCCACTTTAGTGGCACTATCCTGAAGCCATTTATAAAGCTGGAATAGTATAGAATGTACTACGTAGGAAAGAGAGAGACGATGCTAATGAGGATGACCCTGATATTTTAGTTCCGAGTATGAACTCCTATCTGCTTCATAAAAGGTAAAAAATAATTCAGGTGAAAGTTAAAGAAAATTCCTGCTGCGTATGCAATAATAAATCAATAAGGTGGTCCAATGACTAGTCCATGATCCATGGCATAATGCATTGTACAGAGCAAGCATCCAAGAGCAATGAGAAAAACAGGTACTGAGCTTAGATTGTCACTACGTTGCCATATTTTTCTTCACTATGGTCCATATATGCAGTGGCATAGTTAGATGAGCATGGGTTGGGACAGAAATGCATGGATGAGATGGAGAGAATAGGATGTTTATCCGATAAGTGGCTATACGGGTGTCATGCAAAGGAAGTGTTGATAAGATTGCGAGACAAATGCCTAACATGCATGGTTACTTTTTCTGCCAAGACATGGGAATAAAGCCATTGTGGTGTATGTGTAAGTGTTACTGCATGCAAAAATAATATACCTTGTGTCGGGGATATGGGGCTAAATGACAACTTCTCTGTGACTCGGGCCTTTTAATTTAGTATCCGTAGCTTTTTAAAGATCTGTTGCTTTTTTTTATGTGCTTTCAATTTATAAACTTCATCAATATGTGCTCAAAAGGTAGCTCGTTTAGGTGGTTGCTCATTCTCCACTTCATTCGTTTATTCGCCAAGAGGTATGTGATGTAAATTTTGAGATGTTTACGTGCCTAAAATAAATTATCCTCACATGAAGATCTATGTCTGAGTGAACGAACACATGAATGCATGTATGGCAAGGACCGTCTGAAATTTCAGAGGGCTAGTGGCTGGTTGTATCTATGTATGCATAATAATACCATGATAGAACAGCCTGGAAATGGTCACGAGCAGACACTGGTTAATTGAGAAGTCATAGTCACTGATTGAACCCGCTTTATTGCTAGCGGGGCCGTGTAGTGCATCCTGTTCAGAGTTATGCCTCGCTAAATTCCAGAGAGGGCCTTAAACTTTCTTTTCTAGCAGTAATAAGAACAAATGGCAAATCTGCTTGGTATCTAATTGTGAATCATGTGTCACGTTCTTGGGTGGATTAAGTTCATTAGATACAGCTGAACAATTTGATTTGGTCGAACTCTCCGTCAACCACATGATTCATATATAAGAGTCAACAAGTTACCTAGACAGAGAATGGAAGAATGAGGGAAAAGAACATGTTAAGGAAAGAAATAAGAAGATTAACAGTGTCATTATTAATGAATTCAATACAAAGCAAGCAGGAAAAGGCCCCAAAGACCTTTACTCCCATTTCTCCCAAAGCCAATTAGGCACTATAAAAAAAGAGGGTTCTCCTCTCTCCCAAACAAATGAAAAAATCCAAGAAAAAGGTGAAACTATAGACACGTGTTTCCATCACGTGTATACACCAGGCAATGGATCCTGTATAGTTAGGCCAAAGCACAAGCCGAAAAGAAAAGGAAATTAAAAAAATATATATCCCGCCATAACTAAAACAAAAAATTCACACATACGCACGTGTGAGACACGCTCCAGAGGCTTCTCACGCGTATCAGAAGAAAAAAGTCCACAAAATGTGACTAGCTTCAACTTATTGCAATTTGATTTTTGTGGTCTAGTGATATCCCATCACACTATCAAAAGTAACGTGTAAACTGAAGAAGCGAAGATGCTGGCCAAGATGAGAAGCTTGACTTAGAGATCCCATTTTAAGGAACAGCCCAAACTTCAAAGTTTCGATACCCTGAGATTTGCCAACCCAATTGATTTCTCTGCTCTGCGACTCTTTTTTTTTTTTTTTTTCCTACCAGCTCTGAAGCATTGTCCCACCGTTCACTTATCTTTCACCAAAAACCAGCGCATCTTTGAATTCCAAACTCCCCACTTCTTTCTTCCACACTTGCACGACCAAACCATTAAATGCATTTTCCTATACTCTCTCACACACTTTTCCACAACAATATATTTATGTTGCAAAATCCCCTTCCCAAGGGAATCTGCAAAGCCATTGATGAATGGCAATACCCACCAACAAAACAATAATAACAACAATAAAGGCTCACAACTCACATAAAATAGTCTATGCTATTATAATGTACACCATGACTCGTCAATTTTAAACTCAAAAATACCCTCTAAAAAATGTTGAGGCTTCTGGACAACTTGGACCACCACCTTATTTCATTCTTTTTCCTCCTTTATTACTGCTCTTTTTTCTCTTCATTTGGAGTTTCCTTTGTCATCATCTACCCACAAACAGTTATTTAATTTCCTCCTTTTACAAGACAATGAGGATGAAGGAGAAGAGGATGATGCTGAGAATGACGAAACACTAGACCTTAGAAGGGGCCGAGATGTCACTCGCAGCTGCGGTAACACTTTGGGGGGTTTCCTCCGGTTATTGTCAATCACAAGTTCTTGCATTAATTGGTAGCATCCTATAATTTTCTCCTGCAACAATCAGATATATGTATTTTGGCAACCTGATCCATCTTTTCACTTGAAAACTTTCAACAACTCTTTTGACATGCTTACCTTTATTAGCCCTTCGCACCACGACTCGGCATCCTCGGGTCTAACGAGAGACCAATTAGGAATCTCGTTAGCTGCATGGAGAATGGCCGCTGCAGCAATGCACGATGGCCAATAGGCAAGAAAACTAGCCTCTGGAAAAACAGAAAAAAGTTATTAACAAAATGCATACCTTAATTATTTTCCGATACTTTCTCGATGCAACTTGACATTTTTACGCATATATACCAAATGAATGCATACCTTGGATATTAGATAAGATAATTTGTGTAGCACGTGAAATGAGGAACCCGGTAAAAGTTCCAGTTGAATCTAACTTGCACGCAAAGAAGTCGAGGAAGCTAAATGGGGTCACCGATCTTAGCCTCCAATCCAAGACGCCCAGGACGAGTAGCTCCATTCTTCTAATTGTTCTGGGCTCAAATAGGAATTTGGCACCTTCTACCTGTATGCATTAAATTACGAATGATGTATTTGTCATCTATTATGATGTACATAACTAGTGATAATTGAGTCCACCACAGAGTAAGTTAAGGATTTATATTTTAACCAATGTACATACATTTTTTTCATTTATATTTAAAGAAGAAACTTAATCACCAATGTGGCCTTTTATATCATTGATCACACTCAATTACTGATGTGACACACATATTGGACATATACCTGAAGGTCCAACAGTGACGGAACTAGAGGTTCCTCCATCTTTGCCGCTAAAGACAAGCACGCAACTGATAGAAGTTGCAATGGCCACCCATTATTTTGCTGTAGACATATTAATAAATATCAAACAGTAAATTAAAAGAAAAGGTAATCATTATTATCAGTTTATTATCACGAGTACACTAAGAATCAAACTTTTTGGCACATAATACCACGTTCAATGCACGTACACAGAAAGAGTTTAGAGTACAAGAAACTTTAGCAAGCTGTAATAAAAAACAATTTCAAGAACATTTTTTTAAATATTTATTATTAAGATTTACTAAATTTACCGCAAGTGATATTCACGTGGTATCATGATAATCAATTAAAAAACATTAAAAGTTATATTACTAATATTTACTTTTATTTGCACAAGAAAATCATTATGATGCATTATTTATGAGACCCTAAAAGAATGAAAATTTAGTGGACATAATAAATAGGCATGTATATAATATCAGTACTTTATAACCTAACAAACAACATATAACTAAATTAATAAAAGTACTGTACTGTATATGTAGTATGTATAACACTGTCCCAATATACATATTTAAATAGCATTTAAATGAAGAGTACAATGTTCATCCACCATTACATTGTTATTAAATGACTTATTCATATTTGTATTGAATGAAAATCTATGAATTGTTTTAAAAAAGTTTTGTTATTTTCTTTAAAAGTCAAAATAGTTACTGCAGGATTTTTTTTAGACGCACATGAGTGACACTGATAACCATCTTCCAAATTCATCATTTAGCTTCCAATAATCTTTCTCCGAGTTTTATTAACCTTTAAATTTCCGAAATGGAACTTCAGGTATCTAACTCACCGGCAACGGCCGAGAATTCAAGAATCGATCCATGTAATTAACAGAAAGATAAGCCGTGAGCGGTTGAAAAGCGTAATAAGCCTGCACCTGCATACACCGGATTAAAACTGATACAAAAAGTGGATCTATAAACAGAACCGAACTGTTTTCCGAAGACAATTACGCCCGGCGCATTTTAGCACCGTCTGGTTCGGTATTCCACGCGCGTGGTAATTTCGTAATATGAAGACAACAGCGTGTCCGGTTAGGTGAAAAAAACAGTTAGCGCCGGAGAGTGAGTTACCTTGAGAATCCATGCAACGGATTCTTCTCTGGCGGAGGCGTCGAGAGAGCGAGATTGGAACCTGTTGAGATATTCGAATCCGGGAACGAAATGTCGTTCGTCTTCAATGAATCCGGCGATGGACTCCTCCTCCGACGGCGGCGAGGAATCGAGGTCGGAGGAACATCCCGGCGAGTCTCCGGACAAGATTCCGGATGAGTCCTCGCCGCAGAGAAGGACGGAGTCGGGAAGGCAGGTGGAGCAGGAGACCGACATGGCGATCGGCATAGACTCATTCTGAAGCCATGGCTCCCGATGAGGTATCGCCGGAAAGCTATCCGAGAATTCGCTGGAAGTGGAAGTTGCAGTGGAGAGTGGAGAGTGGAGAGGGAGAGAGTGTATCTGTTGTTGAAAGATACAGGTAGGTTCTTCATATGTTTGTTTGAATATAAATATGCGAGGGTCAGTTTTTTTTTTTTTTTTCAATTGTGATATTCTTTATAAGATGATACTTTGGTGAGATTTTTTGTGTTATTAATTACTAGTAATACATGGACAAAGAGGTGTGTAGTTTCTCTTTAATTAATCTTTTCTATAAAAATTCCAAAATTCAAGAAATTTGAATGCATTATCGTTTCATTTTTAAATATTCGGATAAAAAAAATTGATATTTTCATAACCCAATATAGATAAATAATTATTTAATGAAAAAAATATATGAATATAGATCACTTTATTATTATTATTATTACTACTATTATATTAATAATAAAATTATCAAATAATTGTTTTTTTTTCTTTTTACTCTTTGTTGTCTAGTTATAGGATAAAATCATTTAACATTTTGTTTTGAAAATAAATTCATTTCAATTTTATCATGTATCATGTGTACATTTTAATGTTGGGTAATTATCGAACATTTAAAATTTTAAAATAAATTTTATCAAAACTAGAGTTAGACAAGTTTCAAATAATAACATAACAATAAGAAAAGTCTTATCCGGTTAGGTGTGATTGCCCACCAATACTTTTACATTGATTAAAAACTAATTTTCAAAAAATCATTTGCCGTCAAACTTCTCTTAAATTTTCCTCAATTGAGTAGTTTGTTTTTATTTGAAATTAAAATTATGTTAATAATTTTTATTTATTTTTATTTTTTGCATTTTTTTTAAAGCATCAGTGATAAATAGCACATTATATTATATTGCTGAAAGGTAATTAATCAAGGATTAACACACTCTTAACTAATTTTTCTTATTCTTTAAACACTTAAAATGTTTTGACCTAAAATTTCCTCTATCAATTTTTATTTATATATTTTTTTTGGTTAACATGATTAATAATATCGACCATCAATATAATCTCAGTGATTGACTTGAGTTTAAAATACATCACTGTCTACTTTCATATATAATTTTTCGAATCATATCTTAATTCAAAACTTTTCTTTTGTTTGAAACTATGTAATTTATTTATTTATTTATATTTTAAACAGAATATTGAAATTTTAATATATCTTAACAATATTGAAACTATATTTTAATTTATTATTTTATCTTTTACTTTACTGATAATGGACTTTCTTTTTTATTATATAAATCTATCATCTTAATTTATTTTTATATTTTTCATTATTATTAATTATAGTTTTTATATAAGTATCCTTCTTTTTCTTAACACGCTTTTCATATTTTCGAATTTCAATTCTTCAATCCTTCTTATTTTGGCTATTAGTTATGTCCCATGTTAAGTTGTTTGGTTTAATAGTTTTTTTCTTATAAAAAAAAAGTTGAAACCAAAAACCATCAAAGGCTTAACTTTTAATTATCTAAAACACTCATTAATTATATATCAAATTGGATATTGGATACTAACATGTATAGTAAATAATGTAAAATGATATTAGAAAAATATTTTATTTGATAGTTTCTATATGTTCAACTATCATTCCTTTAATAATTTTTCAACCACATTGATGAATTGGATAATTTTATAATCTCTAAATAACTAAATTTATAAAATAAAATTAATGAAATCTTATTCTAATTAATGTAATTTTTTTTTCTTTTGTCCTGCAACATAGTTTATGTGAAGAGTTGGTAAGTTATAATTGTTATGTTGACAAATTATAATTTTGTTATAATATTAAAAAAAATATTTATTTTCTATTTTCAAATATATGAACAATGAGAATGATAAATAACCACAGTTTGAAGTACCGGCACGGAGAGAAATGTAGATGAGATGGAAGGTGAGATAACTACATATCTATTACCTTATTGGTGAGTACAGATATTATTGTACCATACATACATGTAAATACTTAAATATTTATAATATTTTTTATTAAATATTATATTATTCTTAGGATTCATTTTTATATATGTTTTTCAATTTCATAGTATTACATAAAATGAGGGGAGTGTGGGGTTGGGTTTCTGGGGGGAAGCAATTTTCCAATTTTAGCCTGTAATGTTTAGGCGTGATTGCAAAGTGGTTTAGCATGTGTTTTTTTGTACCTATCCACCACAGATATATATATATATATATATATATATATATATATATATATATATATATATATATATATATATATATATATATATATATCCACGATAATAAAATATACAAAATAAATAAGTATAATTTTTAAATAAAATATTTTATTATAATGTTTTCTGACAGTTTCTTATTTATTATTGCCTAATAAAAAATAATTAACTTTTAGAATAATAATTTTAAAGTGCGTATTTGAGACTAATTAAAAATTATTATTATGATAAATATTATTATAAAAATAAATATAGTTATTGAAAAACTTAATTTAATAACTGACATTTAAATAATAATATAAAAAAGGTTAAATTACTGGGTTAGGTGGTCAGTAACAGTTAACTAGACACATATTAGGTTGTTGTCACATTCATGAAAATAATCAAAACACTGATAAATATTAAGTACCTTTTATTTTATTTTATTACATTACATATTATTATTTTTTTTTTCATTTCAGTTTTACATTAGTATTTTAAACCATCAATTGACAGAAAAGCTTTATATATTCATGGAATAAATGTCTCTGCCACATTCTTCAGCTGAGTTGTGTGAAACATACTGATTAAATGGGGAAACCTATTCTTTTAATTAATTTTGTTTAAAAGGTTGAAATTTTTCCTATTTAATTATATACAACTTTAATGTTAGGATTGTTTTAATATCATATTAATGAGAAGTTTAGAAAAATTAATGTAAAAAAATGGGGGAGATGATAAAAATAACATGTTATATTCAAACAATTTTAGTTATTTTCATTCTCCAACAGTAATAATGTATATGTGCCTTGCTGGCCATTATTCAAGCACATATGTCAACTCAACCTTTTTAATAAAATTAGATGACATCAATTAATAATAACAGAATTAACGTTAATGATTTAGAATTTGGTAAATCTTTCTTTCTTAAGGATAATAATAACCGGTGTTTAAAGGATATTAATAAAAAAAAAATAGAAGGAAAACGATTTTTACTGTCAAATGTAAAAATGTGTTCTCCTATTATTCTTTGATGTATTTCCATATGATTTTTCAATAAAACTTATTTTTTTCTTTTTAATTTCTTGCATGGTATTCTGAAGTCCTTATAATAAAATAGAATTTTTTTCATGTATAATTCTATATAAATTTAATTTTAGACCTTGTACTTGATTAATGTAATTTTTCAAATTTTTAAAATATATAAAGCTAGTCAATTATTATGTTAACATTTAACGTTGTTTTTAAGTGTCACAAAGTTCGACAAGAGATTATATTAATAAATTTTCAAAACAAATTCGAGGGTAATTTTTTTAGAATTAAAGAACTAAATTTATTAATTTCAAAATAGACTAAAATGTTTTGAAAGTAAATTAGTTGACTAAATAAAATGTTTAGAAACTAAATTAAATATACAGTCGATTTTAATATTTAATATCAACTTGCATAGTTGTTAATTAAACTTTGTAGAGTTAAAAAAAAATCAATTACTAATATCCATAATTAAAACTCAACCGGGTAGAAATAAATATATAAATAAATACTGATAAATAAGTCGAATTTGATAAATTGATGCAAAATATAAAAGGGACAAGTTTTGACAAGGATAAGAAATGTTCCGATAAACCGCCGCTAAATCAGGTGGCATTTTTATCCCAAGCCACCTTAACCTTATATTTGTCTTACTAATCTTTCACAGTTTGGCCCATGTTTGGGTGAAAAACTTTATTGGCCAAAATTAAACTCTTGATTTTCTTACACCCCTTTGAAATCAAACTTAATGACAAGACAAAATTTTCCTTTTATTGAAGAATTTCTTTTATGTCCATTTTAAAATGAGAAAATAAAAATAATTATTCATTAACCGTATCAATCTTGATCTATAGAAAGGGTAAGTGATCCAAAGTTCAAACGAGTGAACCTTGTTCGATATTTTGAACATTAGAAATTGTGGAAGAAGCATTTTTGGTGAAACTCGTCGACAAAATCGTTTTGGGGGTTTGTAGCACAACTATCTATGTAGAGTCACATGCGTGAATAATGATTGGAGAAATCTTTCCCAATCGTACCACTCTCAATGCATCAAGCCATCTGGTGGGACACCCAAAATTATTTTTTTCATTTCGACAAATTTTAGATACCATTTTTTATAATATATAAATTTATTTTTAACGTGTAAATTGTTTTAAATATTATAAAGTTGAATTTATTTTTTAATCAAATTAGCCCAATATCTATTTGGATTAGTCCAAAAGCTGATTCAATTAAGAAACCAAAACATTACTAAGTTAATTTTATTAATATATATATATATATATATAAGATAATTAATTGAGAGAATATTTATGTTTAATGATATATAATTATAATTAATGAAGAAATATTGATTCACCTTATTAACAAAAAAATTTGAAATATTATTTTGTTTGAACTCTTTATAATTTATACTAATTGGTGATCCTGGCTATTGACGAGTGGAGGAAGATGGGTGAGTGTGAAACATGGGTCTCGTCATCATTAACTTCCCGTCCCATTTTTGTCAAATGTTAGTGATCTACTACGCGTTGTGCGTTTCGCTAATTTATGTTTCGTCCCATACCATTTATATTATTAGAATTTGGTTGTCCTTTTGTTTCATGAGTCGGTAATCTTCCCTATTTGAGAACATGTTTGAAAATTCATTTAAAATATACATTTTTTTCATTAATTTTTGAAAATTATATTTTGTTCTAAATTTTTTATTTATTATGTTATTATCAAAGTTATTCAAAATGTTATTGCGAATAAATTATATATATATATATAAGAAAAAACATAATATCACTTTCATCTCAAATTTTCAAGACATTATAATATATAAATTACTTAATTTTTTTATTTTTAAAGATATTCTATGTTGAACAAAAATATTATTTGGTTTGAAATTTAACGATGATTTTATCATTAACGGAACATGTGTCAAGAGATGAAATATTTGAAAATTCTAAAATTGTTTTAATGATAAATTAAAAGATAAAATTGAAAAAAACACACTAAAATAATTTAAATACAATTTAATTATCTAACAAGTAAAAGAATATGTATTTGAAATAAATAGAAGGATAAATTAACCTTGTTTTAGTAAAATATACTATAATAAATTTAAAAAAAAAAACAATAAATAAGTCTAATATATTAAGTTAAAGTAGCAAAGGCAAATAACTAAATCTAACATTTGTTTGAATTCAAGTCAAAATCCAAAATTTTTAATTTAAGAGAACAAAATAAAAATATGTGGGTTGAATAATCTCAATTCAACTTTTAAGTTAAAATGAATAAATAAAATTAAAACAATTAAAATAAAATGGATGAATTATTGGATGATGACTTGAAAGTCGCATTAACACCTCTAATATAAATCCCTCTGCATAAAAGAAAATTCAACATCAACCCGTTTTTTTAATAATAATAATAAATCAAACCTTCTGGAAATTAGTAGGTCAAATAGAGAGATTGGAGCACAAAAATGGTCACCCACATCAAAAGGTGTTATATTTTAATGATTTGGAAACCAATTCCAGTTTATGTCATTGCACTATTGATTGGAAATGATGTAATTATTCAAAACTTAACAGAAATTTCAAGCCTCACGGTAAATAATTTACCAAATTAAAAGCCTCAATGTAAATAACACGATTTAGGGGATTATGGAGAGATAACCCTAAACCCAATATTGATGAAGGATAATTAAGATCATAAAAAATTAACTTCATCAGATATCCCAAAGTTTTTGTTTTGGTTATGCATTGTTTGGACATTTTAAATTATATACATGATAGTGAAGTTAGTGCCTAATTATTTATTCCACACCTACCAAGCACAACACACATCACAGTTCACAGGTAGATGAATTATATTCAGTATCACCTTGATTTATGCAAGGAATATTTCACCCAATTAACCACGCCATCCAAAAACTATGAAACATAGTGCAAATTGACATATTGGTACGGCAAGAACCGTGTTTGATTTCTCTAAGTTAATGAATGTGTGCCCACACAAAATATCACAATTTATAATAGAATAAATTGCATGCTAGTAGCTGTAAAGAAGATAATTAACGATGTTACAAATTTTAAATATAATGAAATATATATTATAAAAAAATGAAAATTTATCGGTTCATATATTATTAATTATCAATAAATTAAATGTTGGAGTAAGAAATCTTAGAGTAATCTATAAATTGAACTTGTACTCAGCCACCAACCTTGACTAATAATTAACCAATTAAATTTAGAATAAATGCATTTCGAGCCTTTTGTTTATATGTAAAAATAATTAGAATTAGTTTTAAAACTGAGCTCCATCCCAAAAAATAAATAAAAAATGAATACTTTGTACTGCTTCTTCATGAATGAATTTTATTATTAAAATAATATACATAAAAATCATTTGAAAATACTTGGGTGAATATATATATATTTATCATTCTAAAAAAATGAAAATTAGATGAGAGTTAAAAATAAAATTTTGTAAAGAATTTTATTCTTCATTTTCTATCAAGTATAAACTAGATAGTTGTTAAAAAAAAATATTATATATCTATTATAAAATAACCAAATAATTACATTTACTTAGGGAAATTATAACCAAATGAGATAGTTGTTTGGACATTTACTTGAAAATTACATTTACCACATTGTCTGAAAATAACTGTTAGATTAATTAATCTCTTTTAATTTTAAAAATGAACATCAATTTTTTTATATATATTTTTAATAAAAGTATTCCTTTTAATTTTAAATAAATATTCACTTTATTTATGTTTTAATAAATTATATTTTTATATATTTTTGATAAATAATAATTATTGTCGTTATCTTAATTATAATATAAAAATTTATAAAAATACATAATTTTTAAAATATAAAAAATGGATACTTTAAAATAGAAGATATAAGCATAAACCCTAATACAAAGGTAGAACGTTTACATTAACTAATGAAATTTGATAAATACACTTATATATTAACAAGAGTTTGTTTTGTTTTTTTCTTACTTGAAAAATATTAATAAGAGTTTAATCCTTATGCATAAAAAAAATTATATGTTTAAATAATAAAAAATTGTGCTGACAAAAAATATATTATAAATATAAATTTATGTTTGTGATGCATTTTTATTATGTCATTTTTCGGTCAAAGTTCGTTATTATAATTTTTAACCTAGGTCGATAAGAGTTTTTTTTATTATATGATTGACTCATTTTACTTTTAGTTAATGTTATTATAATTATTTTAGTTTTTTAAAACACTGGTTAGGTTTTGAATAAAAATTAATGACATTCATTATCGAATTTTTTATATTTTAAATAAAAATTACCAAAGTGATATATATATATATATATATATATATATATATATATATATATATATATATAAAGAATTATGAGATTTTCTCTTCAGCCTCTTTTAAATATTTATTATAATAAGTAAAGTTATGAAGATAAAATATAACATATTGTGTTTTAACTTGATAAATAATATTAATATATCAATCGAAAAATAGTTTTTATCAATTTCTTTAAATTTATTTGAATATGATTAAATATATATATATATATATATATATATATATATATATATATATATAATCTCACACATCATACAATGTATTTTATTATAAAATATTTCAAAATTTGATAATAATAAATTACTTTGTAAAAATTATCTATACAGGCTTTTGTAGTCTTAACTATATTTGAAGTAAAATAAATCATAGTGCAGCTACGAACTAAATAAGGCAGTTAGACAAGATAAACAATACACTTCTTTCTGGGTGGGAAGATAACAATCCACTAAAGATAAAAAAAAAAAAAAAAATAAGCTACATAATTTAAGAATATTGAAAATAAAGCTGTTGTTAATAATTAATATATAGGTCACACTAAACATTCTACTAGCTCGTTATTATTTAACCTATAGCATTAAATATGAAGGTTGTGATGATTTTTACTACAAAATTCTCAGTTTTCATCATTAGATGACAGACCAATTTGACTGGAAAAAAAAAAACTATAAACTAAATACAAAACAACACCGTTCCTTGTATATATAATAAATGCGTCAAGGTGATGTCATGGGTTTTTCTTTAATTCTTTTCTCTCTTTTTCTTTTCTTTTGTGCATTATTAATTTGTGGGTTATCATCATCTGTGTCAATGTTCATGAGATATTGAAAATGTTTTAGTAAAGTTTGATGAAGCATCTGATAAATGCAGAGGTTGAGATTTGGGATATGATCCAATCCAACAACTCTCACATGGATGCTAATTTGTTTGTACCTTACAATATTTTTCTCAGAGAAATGACCAGCTTCTAGCTCAAACTAATTTTGCTAAGTGGGAACCTCATTTTCAATACTGTTTTCCTTTTTGTTTTTTCTATTTTATATCTTTTTATTCCACACTTTTACATCGCACATATGGATTTCCGAGGCGACACATCTCTATTATTCATGCCTTTAATTATTTTTCTTTATTTCTTTCCTTTTCTATTAGAAATTTTATAATCGAAATCAATCTCATTAGATGTTATCACGTTAATGCAAGATAATGAGTTTGTGGGGTTTGATTAATTGTGAATATATAATTATAAATCTAAGGCTAGAGTAATTTAGACTGAACACAAACATGCTATTGTATACCATTAACTTAAACATTCTATTGAAATTAGGGTGAAATAGTTTAATAACTATTTACTAGAAGAACAAAGTAATATATTATGTATGCCACAGAGCACAGCCAACTTTGATGGATAAGGAAAGTAAACTTTGATAATAAATTCAAAGGTTGCATGATCTACAATTTGATTGAAGGGTTTGGGGTTTGGCAGGAAGGTACATGGAATTGTCTACTAGTACCACTACTACCAAACCAAACCTAGATATGGGTTCACTATTTCATGGGGTTCATATCCACCATTCATCCATATGCAACACGTAATTCAGAAACTTAAACTTTATTTTTATCAAACAGTAAGCACATTGATGGAAAACTCCACCTAATATACATATATGTATGAATACATGAATAATAGTTCCAAAGCCCCCACAAACGTGCTTAGTTTGCGTGTATATATAGTGTCACGTATGGTTGTCGCTGTTTGATGTGAGGAAAGGTTAAGAGTCCAAGTTGTTATTCAGTTTGATTTATGTGTTTAGGTTTCCTAAGAAGATGACAGGTTGAGATGATGCATGGAAGCCAGAGGTGGGAAGAATTATTAGTTGGCTAATGTTTGATGAATCAAATCAAGATAAAGGAGGGTTCATTATTAATAATTGAAGCAAGAGATGAGACATGGACCAGGATATATAGTGTTTGGTAGGGAGCAAGAAATTGTAAGTGAAATCGTATGGTATCAGCCGACAGAGATGCATGGCTGTTGAGTACTGATGAAGTGTTCTAAGAGGGTATATTCAGAAAATGGTAAAATGCAGACATGTGCAAATGGACACACACATGAAGAGAGAGAGAGAGAGAGAGAGTGCATTTGATGAGAGGCTAGAGTTAGATGATGTGGGTGGTGTGGTAATGGGCATGTGACCAAAAGGAGTAGGCTATGATGTTGGCAAAGATGGAAGTCAAGATGGGGTGAAATCATCAATCGCCTTATCATTTCCATGTTGATGAAATGAAGGGGGGGTGTGTGTATTTGTGGGAATTATTGTGCTGGCATCACTGAAACAATATTTGGTGATTCTGTTTTTGTCACAGCAAAAACCAAAACCCTGGTTTCTGGTCAAATGTGTCTGTTTGTGAGGTTGTTCTAGATGTCGTGCCAAGCCCACCCCTATGAATTTGGTTCAATATGACCCAGTGTACATTCAATGTTACCTTTCAGGTCAAATGTAATGGGCTTTTTACAAAATTATAAGAAAAACTTCCAGAGCCCATCTACAATAAATAAATGCACTTATAAATAAATAAATAAATAAATAAATATATATATATATATATTTTTTATTTTTTTCTTTTAGTGTGATTTTCATTAATAAATTAGAACATTTCTTATTGGATACAAAAAGAAAAAATTTAGAAAATGGCGTCGCCCGGACTCGAACCGGAGACCTTCAGTGTGTTAGACTGACGTGATAACCAACTACACCACGACACCTTTACGTTCTATAACTTTTAAACAGTTTAAATTAAATTATATCTGATAAACCTATATACGCCATTTCTTAAGTTATTCTGGTGTGGGTAACGTATCGAAAAGACGAAGCAGGAGAACAATGCTCCGTTCAACTGCATTTCCGGCACCGTACAATTTGGTGCCTGTTCTCTCTCGCGCCCACACCTGTCACTCTCTGGCACCTGCACGTGCCGTTCCTTCTCATTTCTCTTTAGTTTCCCGGCAACCCTGCGCGAAACTTCCCGGCGGCTCGCTTGTCGCGGCTGCGGCGAAGAAGCAACGGCGTGGAGGCACTGAAATCTCCGGAGACGATGAAGTTTTAGACGACGACGAGTACGACGACGGTTTAGGTGATGAATTCGAAGACGATGAAGAAGAATTTGATTATGATGACGATAATGAGGGGATGCTTCCGTTGGAGAAGATGAATAAATGGTTCGAGAAGAGACCGAAGGGCTTTGGTGAAGGAAAAGTGTACGATACTTCAGTTGAGGATAAGCTACTCGAGGAAATGCGGCAGAGTAGAGTAGCTCAGGCTGAGAACTTGAAGATGCTTAAGAGCAACCCTGTGAAGCATGCTTCCAATGAAAGAGATGAAAGGAAGAAAGGTTAGCCACTAATAACCATTTTTTGTTGTCGTGTTCTAATTAGTTCAGAGTTGATTGGTTTGGTAAAATTATTCTGCTATTGACTGTGGTGTTATGTTCATGTCTTTAGTCATGTGTTGTGTTGCCAGTGTATGTGTAAAGCATTTTTTTTTTTTCGTTTTTTGTTCGTGCATGTCATATGTAGATATAGTTGCTTGAGTTTGTTTGTGTGACAATGCAATTGCTTAGGTGGTTTTGGTACTGTTTTTAAAGAATTGAAGTTTAATTTTTGGATAACCTATGTGGATCTTAAACACAAAATTTTATTATGCACGAGACAAGTCTAATTCTAATGGGAAATAATACCACAAAGACTTTAAAGAAACAAATTATAATCAAGTTTTGTCTATGGCTAGATAAGCCTTTATCCATGTGGTTGCCACATGAGTAAATGTATATGCATTGAAGAATTGCATCAACACTCCCTTCTGAACACTGATTTTTGTTGTAGATCCTTAGGTTTCGTGCTTTATTACTATTTGAATAAACTTCTTCATAGTATAACGAGTAAGTAAAAAAAATAAGAGTTAAAATAAAAGAGACTTTTCCATAAGGTCAAGTTCACTTATGCTTTAGTTAATTTTTAGAAACCTTTTTATTAGGGCTATCTTCAAAAGTTGATATTTTTTTTTTGTCTTGTCACAAGTTTTTTCCATTCCTTTAGGATAGAAACTAATCTTCTAAGGAATGTTACTGCTGCTGCCATGGTAAGTTTTCAAAAGTGTATTCTAATTTATGCAAAAACAATTTTTTTTAGGAGAAGTTTTTTTTTTTCTTTTTCATTGTACATTCTTATTTTCTTTTCTCATAAGCTCTTATGGAGAAGTTTATTTCGAACAAGACTAAATGTAGTGAGAATCAGGTGAAACTCACCTAATATTACAGTGTATTTTAAACAATGAGTCTGTTAGCATTTCTCTGTATACTTTACAAGCCAATTTTGATTACTCACTCCCCCTGAATTATTTGTTCATTGAGAAATACACTTTCTGGGTTCTTTAATGGTGATTGAGACGAATCTAAAGACTTGTGAAAATAAATGCTAGGCTCCAGTATCATATATTCTGTGTTGTTGTCTGTTGGCTTTTGGATGAATAACAAACCCATGCCCAAGACTATCAGTTGCAAAGTTTTTTCTTTTCATTTACACTGACCCTACGTTTTGAAATCTGACTATATATTGACATGGAACTTTGCAGATGCAAAACTTGTTCCAATTGGGAATCGAGTGCAATTGGTGAACCTACCGAAGAAAAAGAACATCCTTAGAGATCTGAAATCAGCTTTGCAAGGGATTCCGGGCATAATTAATATCGTCCCAGCTGTTATCGGAAACAAGAAGACAAGGGACCCAATCTGCAAAGGTTTTGCTTTTGTTGATTTCAAGCGCGAAGAAGATGCAGTTAGGTGTGTTCTAACCTCTATATTGTGTCTGCTTCCAACCCCCAACCCTAAGAAAATTAATAATGAAGAATAAGGGAAGAGTAAGTATAGTCTCATACATGCAGTGCAAGACGTTTTGTAATATGAAAATTATGAGGATGCTTAGTTGTTTAAAGAATTTTGAGGTTTGAGTCTGTTGACACAGAACTCTTTAGCACTCCTTAAAAGTATTCCCATTGGTTGGATTATAAAACGATGTGACACAAGTACAAGATAGTTTTCTTTGATTGGATAATTGATTCATGCTTCTTCATGTTGGTTTACTTTGTTAAAATGAAATTAGTGAATATGTGTAGCATATAGGGAACTGTGCATTTTTTAATTATTGTAATTTTGTTATTGAAAGAGTTTCCTGCGGGGACACAATGTTGAATATGTTAGTATCTTACTAATTCCACTGTTCTGTCCCTCAGGTTTGTAGAGTTATACACTGGAAAAACTATTACATTTGGGAAAATTCAGAAACAGATAAAATGCGAGCTTCTAAATGCAGGGTCTTCATCTCCTTCTCTGAAAATAAGTGAAAACCTAAGTGCTGCTCCGCAACACATGGTCTCTTCCTTTGAAGAAGATTCAAATGAGGATTCCACCATGGATGATGATTCTGCCCTCAGCTCGTGGGACGAGACCAATTCAGATGATTTAGATGACCTAGACAATCAGATGGATGCAGAAGAAGAACAGAAAGATGATGAGGGTATTCAAGAGTCTGTCACTGTTTTGAGAGTGGATGGTGATGATTCTGCGGAATTGGAAATCCATCCTGAAACTAGCTCCACAGTGGAAAAGAAGTCGTTTGCCAAGGTTAAACAAGAGAATTCCCGCCAGAAAAAATCAACTTCCAAAGAGAAAGCAAAAAAAGTTTTAGGTGTTCCTGGATCCTCAAGGAGGTGATTTCCCTATGCATTTTATGTAGCCTGAGCATCATGCTTCCGTGTTCTTTTCTCATGTGTACTTGTTTGATTCTGGTGCAGGTTAAAGATCAGGGAGAAGGCTGTATTAAGTGATGTCTTCTCCAAGTACGGATTAAAAGCTACACTTGCTTCAAAAGATAGCTAGTAATTTACTAATGAGCTGAGAATGCCAGAGTCTAAAGCATCACTGGCACGTACGGTCCAAAACCTAAAAGTCATATTACATGCAATGGGACTTTGTAGTTGACCATGGATGCCAGTTTTTGATTTAGTGCAGAATCAAATTGTAGCATAGGAGTATTGTCGAAAAATCTATGATCCTATATTATTGTTTTTTTTTTTTAAATAAAGCATTATTTGCTGGCATTTGAATGCATTCGTGGGATTTGAGGGGTTTTAGCGTGTTTAGTTTCATGTATGAGTTTAAACATAAAGGGAGAAAGTATGAGTAAATTATTGAAGTTGGACTAAATATCTAACACAAATTGTTTTTCCTAAGCGACCAAATGCTAAATCTAGTATCAATACTAATCGATAATATAAAATGATTGAAACCGAAAAAATGGAGCTGCGGGGAATCGAATCGATAATATAAAATGATTGAAACCGAAAAAATGGAGCTGCGGGGAATCGAACCCCGTGCCTCTCGCATGCGAAGCGAGCGCTCTACCATATGAGCTACAACCCCTTTTAGATGATTTTATTTCCTGTAAAATAATAACCTTTACTAAAATATATGAAACTTTCATAACAATCATCATGCAAAGAGATAAAAATCAAAAGGAATAAATAGAATACTCCCTTCTCACAGGCGAAGCAAGCGCTGCATCATATGAACTTATAACCCCTTTTAACAATGTTAAATACTTTATTGATTTCAAACATAAAAACGAATTTGAAGAGCTTTATTTTCAATTCTATTTCAAATGTTTTCAGTGTTTCGTCGTAATTGAGTTTACATGTTTACCGTGTGCACAATATAGTTTAAAAATAAACTTAGCATCCCGACATAATCGAAAAAGCATGCTACAATTTTAAAATAAATTTATTCATTATTTAAAAAAAAATTACTTACAAAGATAAATCGATTCAACGATTAAATAGGATGAAGTAATCCCATTAAATATAATTTTTACCTTTTTTTTACATTTTTTATTTTTATGTTTTGAAGGAAGTTGTTGATGTTCATACTCTCAATCTTAAAGTCCTTAAGATTGTTGTAGAAGTTGATAGAGACACGAACAAACTTTATTTCTGAGGCATGTATAATCACTGCCCTTAAGGACTTATCCGCGGTGTATTGCGCAAGTCTCCCAGGATACAACAGGAACTTATCGGAAACTAGCAAGAAATTCTCAAAAGAGTAAATTAACCCAGGATAACAGAAAGAAGATCAGAGAAGATGAGATGTATGTGTTGAAGAGTGTGAAGTGGTCTTTATTTATAAGAGAAAGTCTGTAACAGTTATGGAAGACTTGGTAGTGGGTCTGCAACCTGAAATAGTCTTTTGCAACGTTATCTGAAATAGTCAACGTGTGTGAGAACACGTTCTCTGAAACGATCTTCTGCAATTTCTCTAAAACAGTCTTCTACAACGTGAGAACACGTTCTCTGAAACGGTTTTCTGCTATAACGTGTGAGAACACATCCTCTGTTTTGCAATACCCCTTAATTTACAATATATATATATATATATATAATTATTTATATTTATTTATTTACTATTATTATTATAAATAAAATAATTAATAATAAAACATTAATAAATATTTATCATTTATTATTATCATTAATTATTATTATAATATTATTACTAATTATAATAAATAATAAATATAATAATAAATATTATTATTAATTATTTAATTTATAACATTTTTATATTTAATATTATTTTATTATTACTATTAATATCATTATTAATTTTATTATTTATTATTAAAATTATCATAATTATTTCTTGTTAATAATAAATTTTATTATTAAAAATTAAAAAATCATTAAATTATTATTATTTTTTATTTTATTTATTACTTTAGAATTTAATAAATTATTAATAATTATAATTATAATATAAAACAATACTTATAATTATTTAGTAAATAAGTAATAAATATAATAATAATAATAAAATTATTAATAATAAGTATTAATTATTTTATATATAATATTTTTATCTTTAATATTATTTTACTTTTATCACTAATATCATTATTAATTTTATTATTTATTATTAAAATCATCATAATTATTTTTATTAATAATAATTACATTAAGAACTAACAAATTTATTAATGAAATGTTTTAATTAATAATTCCTTTTATTCTTTAATCTTAATCTTTTAGTTAATAATAATAATTATTATTTAATGGTAACAAATTTATTTTTATATTATTAACTAAATAATTACAATTACCTTTTTAATAATTCTGTGTGTGCGTGTCTCTGTGTGTCTCTCTCTGTGTGTCTCTCTCTGTGTGTCTCTGTGTGTCTCTCTCTCTGTGTCTCTGTGTGTGATTCTTTTTATGTAATAATTATTTACTCGTTTGTGTAATTCTTTTAAAAATTACTGAAATCTCTAATTTTCTTCGTTTGACTGAAAATAGTAATAAAAGTCTCTGTGTGTGAGTGAAAATAGTAATAAAAGACTGTGTGTGTGTGAGTAAAAATAGTAATAAAAGACAAAGTAAAAAAGGTTAAAAAAAGTTGAAATGATGTTTGATAACATGATTTTTTTTTCTTTTTATGTAGTAATTCTACTAAGCACGATTTACTCGTTTGTGTAATTCTTTTAAAAATTGCTGAAATCTCTAATTTTCTTCTTAAAATTGTACCATTTTAATGCTTCTCCCAGACATAACACGTTACACAATATAAAAAAATTACGAATTCAAAGGTAATTATCACGAACAGTTGAGTAATACATTAATCATGCAAACATGGATGTTATCTCTAGTTATAAAACTTGGTGGCACACAAACACTGTTGTATAATTTCAAGCTCTATTGATGCCATTTGTAATGGAGAACTCTCTTTTCAGTCATCATCAATAAAAAACAAAATGAACAAGATCTAAGAGCAAATCTTTCTCTGATGACATTTCCAAGCACATTTTGAACATGTACAAAAACGGAAACCAGATTTTACAATCCAACGTGATGCAATGTGATATAAATCAAAACAAACAAAGCAAGTTCGTTTTCAAGTCACTTCTTTTTTGTAATTTAATTTCTTTGAGCAAGCACATGAAATTTTTTTCTTTATTTTTTCTTCTGTAATTTATTCTATGTAAGAAATTAAGTTGGATGAAACTTATAACCCTCTTTGTTTGTATGAATGTATGGATGAAACTTATAACGCCTTTAGATGACTCAGATTCAGTGATACTGTGATAAGAGTCTGAGTAAAGTGTAGAAGAATTATAAGATTTAGTTTATTTTATTTTCATTGTTTTTTAATTATCATTTAATTCAATTGTTACTGCATTGTTTAAGAAGTGGAAAGACCGTGTATATCATTTAATCGCAAGGTTCTTGTCTGCTTTTATTTATTAATTTTTTCAGTGTTATAGCTGATGATTTGTGCACAAAGATTTCATGATTCTTGTTCTTTGACTTTATACTGCTATTCATTTTATAAAGCGCGTTACTGTAAGATTCATTATTACTTTTACTATTAAGTTATTAACAATTAGTTTCTGATACATCTTTGTAATCAAGAATTTGAAACAAATACACGATGAAGTTGAAAAGCAAGGTATTACTGCCTAAAAAGAAGGAAATAGACCGAAGATCCATACATTCAACTTGTTTTTCACACTTGAAAAAATGAAGACAGATGAACACAAAGTACATGCATCCACTAACAAATAACAACGACTGATGAGAATAGTCGATCAATGTACATTCAAACTTCCATTTTTATCTGCGTGCATCAAATAATTCACAAATTGATTAATGTGCTTATCAGAGTTGCCACCTTCACCGACTGCTTTCCTAGCCAACTTCTTCCATTTGTTGGCATTCCTTCTAATCTCATCACTTCTTTCACCCTCCATCACAACCTTCAAACTGCTGATAAATTCTTGCTTCCTCACAATTCCATGTTCATCCTCCTTGGGCCACACACCCACCTCCCAGATTTCATCCAAAAATTTAGCATCAGGCAATTGATCAGCCCACTGTGGAAAACACACCACTGGAACACCAAGGCTAAGGCTTTCAAGGGTGGAATTCCAGCCGCAATGAGTCACGAAGCAGCTAGTGGCTTTGTGAGCCAGCAATTCAAGTTGGTTGCACCATGTCACAATAAGACCCTTATCCTTTATCAAATCTCTGTACCCACTAGGCAATTTACCCTGCTCAGATTCTCTTAAAACCCACAAGAAACTCGCACCACTTTCTTTCAACCCCCAAGCCACCTCTTCCACCTGTTCTGCTGTCAATGACACCATACTTCCAAAGGAGATGTACACCACAGAGCGAGGAGCCTTTTCTTCCAACCAATTGCTGCACTCTTCATTTAGTGGCTTCCAGAGACTTGCTCCATACCCTTTGTCCCCTTTAATCCTCCCGTCCAAGTAAGCAGAAGGGACCATGGGCCCTATCGTCTTCGCTGGAAAGAGCTCCTTTAAGCCTTCCACTACCTTTCATATGCAAATCATCACCAACAATGTCATAATCTCGTAACGAATCAGACAAAAGCAAAATATACTCAAACAAGAAAAGTCAAGAACTCACGACAGTAAACCAATGCAGTTTGACAAATCAGTTAGCCATATTATCACCAACAAAGAAAAACACATTTAATACAATTATCTATGCAGAGTCAGAAATATGATACACTTTAAATGCTCTTAATTTTTTGCACCACTTCTTATATTTTTGGTAAATGCTCTTTATTTTATGGAACTCATATTATATTTTAGGTCCTTTTTCACTTTCTTCTGTCCTTCATCTGAATTTTTTATTTGTAGTTTGTTTCTGTTCCAGTTTTCTTGCCCGTTTTATTTTTTAATTGTAGTTTCCTCCTCTAAATTTAAACAACAAATTATTATTTTGATTCTCCTTTATGTAACCATGCGAGAATTTAGTTCTGAAAGAATAAAAAAATTGTCCTATAATTATTCTGTCTTATAATTTTGGGACTAAATCATCAGCATATCAAAATGTTATTTACCCAAACTAAAAAGGCTCCACCTTCATCCTTTGAAGTGTTGCTTTTAGACTAAATCAATCATTCAGAGAGTTTACCACACTATCATGTTAACACGTGTCAAGCATTCATATATAGGGATCATTTATGTTGTCATCCACTTGACCAGAATAGCCTGATAAACTGATAAAAGAACAAGTTTAGGCTATGTAAGCATATTTAGGATAGAAAACCAAAACTACATGAATTGAACCTTTACCTCGCTTTCTAATGCTTCAAAGGTGTTGACAAACATCCAATCCACTTTGTCCAGGTTAGAGAACTGGCTCAATTTCATGGCCAAGTAAGCGGGGTAGCTCTGCGGGAACTTCACGAAACTGGGGAGAGAGCGGTAATCCAAGGGAGGAAGCCCAGGAACACGCAGGGGAAGGTCTTCCGCGTCAACAGGAAGCTCAATGAAGCCACGGTGTATGCGACAGAAAATGCTGCACACCGCCGCAGAGTTCGTGAAAAATGCCGCCCCATAAACGCCATGCTCCTTGGCCACATCGAGAACCCACGGGAAGAACGAGTCATACACAATGCAGGTGACGGGGGAGGGAGTTTGGTGGTATTTGTGTATGAGCTGGGACAGGGTCCTGGAACCGTTGGTTCTGAAGGAGGAGAGAAAGTGTTGGACGTCGTTGTTGGCCTGGGCGAAGCCGGCTTGGTCGAAGCCATCGGAGATGCGTTCGACGGTGATGTTTGGAGCGGCGATGGATTTGGCGGTGTAGTGGGTGGTGGCAACGGTGGCCTTTACGCCCTTTGAAGCCAATCGCTTAGCGAATTGGACGAGGGGGTTGATGTGACCTTGGGCTGGGTATGGCAGAACAAGAACGTGCACGTGCACGTTGCTTTGACACTGCTCAACAACCATCTTTTTTTTTTTTTTTTTTTTCTGTTTTGTTTGCTTAGGGTATCTTTATGTTTGATTTTGATGAGTGATGGTTTCTTGAAGACCCAGTTTTATAGGCCGCGCGTAATGGACCGCCGCTCTTCTTCTCTGCTTTCACCGATTCGAAGTCGGCTAGTTTTGTAATTATTTTCATTTTTTTTAATATTATATTTTGCTTTTACTCTTTTTTTTTAACTTAAAATTATATTTTAACCATATACTTTCAACAAAATTGTTCTTATTTATTTTTAATATATTACGTGCCGTTTACATAATATAACTTATTTTAATTTTACATTTTTAGTGTTAAAACTCTTATTATATTTACTTTTTTTTTTAAATATTCATTTCAAGTGTTTGAATTGAAACCGTAGTAAGTCTTCAAAAGATTATGAAAATATATTAATTTTAAATTAAAAACTAAAATCAAATTTATCTTATATTTGAAAAATGAAACATGTACTTAAAGATACAAATTATCTTTTAACACACTTTTTTGTATATTCTTTTAATGATTAAGTTTAATACAAATTGTAAAATTTAGAGTAAAATATAGTTTTAATTATTTAAAAGTTTACAAATTTTGAATTTAATTCTTAATAAAAATATATTTTTATTGAAATATTTACAAATTTGTATTTGATTTTTCAGAAAAGTTATTTATATTTTTCTCTATAATTATATTAACTTTATTTTAGTTTTTGAATTATAATAATCAATATGTTTTTTATTATATGATCATATATTATATTTATACCCATGATATAATGATAATGATTAAATATAAAATATAATAAATTAAAATAAAAAAGTGAATAAAATATTTATGTTGTATTTTTTTTTAAAGTGATAAACTATTTATACAAACAACGGAATGAATATGCTTTTTATTTGTTTATAATTAGTAGATTTGAGGGCGTGTGTATTTAATGGAGGAAGTGGATGAAACATCTTCGGTGGTCTTCTTCTATACATTTATAAACGTATTCAAATTAATTTTCACATGTCTTTAGTGTACATTATATCACATGAACTATGAGAGAAATACAACATGCATGCAGAAATTCCTGGTCTTGCACGTGAACTAGACGCATAGTAAAGATTCATTATTGACTATGGTAGTTAAAGGTTTCCATACGCCCATTAAAAATTCGTGGATGAAGTGGTTAAGCGTTGTGTTTTAAGTTGTGAAAGTTGAGCTTTTTTTTTTACTCATTCTAAGGAAAGTGATGGTTGATCTATCAAGTAGGATGGTGGGGGTGGTTGTGTGTGTCTTTGTAATGTTGAATGTCATTCTATGTGAGCTTTTGTGTCAAATAATCGATTCTCAAAACCTAAGGGGTGGGTGAAAATGGTTGTAGAGACAACAATAATCATCTTTCATTCTTTTTCTAATACCCTACATTATGTCTTGCTATGGTATCAACTTAAATATAGATTTAAGCATAAATTACTTTGAGAAAATAACGTTAATAAATTGAATGTTATTAATATAAAAAATGTATATATAAATATGAAAAAATAAACCAGGAGAATGAACATGAAAATAATAAAAACCCTGCAACACTCGACGTTGATGCGACCAACATTATATCACGAGGTTAGTACATTATAATATGATTTAATCTGATACAATTTCTGATGATTCTCAAATGTTTTCACCACTTTAAGATAGTATTAAGCAAATCCAACAAGGATTAAATACTCTCAACTTGAGTATCAATCAAAGTTTTGAAACACTACATCAAATAATTAATAGTATCACTCTTTTAAAAGTCGATTCAACTGATTTAACCATAATTGATCTAAAAATTGATTTGTTACTTCTAAATAACTAAATTTTAATTAAACCAAAATAAAAAAAAATACAAAACTGAAAAAAAATTGAAAAAATCAATTAACCAATCGATTTTAGTAAAAAAAAATAAACATCAATTTTTTTAATATAATTTTTTTATAAAAAATATAATATATTCTATTTATTTTCTTTTTTTATTTCATATTAATTACAATAATTTTAAATAATAATTATTTTATTATATTTTCATCTTATTTTTACTATTATTCATCTTATATTTTTAATATATTTTATATTTATAATCTTTATTTATGATCATTACAATAAATTCTATTTAAAAAAAAATATTATTATTAATAAAATATTATATAATTATTATATTAAAAAATATTATTTTATTAAATTTAATAGGATTCTGATCTAATCTTTTAAATCTAAATTCATATTTTCACTAGGTTCATAACTAATTTAATTTTTAAAAAATTAGATAATATAAAGTAAAAAATTGAAATTTTTAAAAAATCTTTTAAATAAAAATAGTCATAATTTATTTTTTTCTCTTGTAATATTATTTTATTTTTTATTGTATTTCTTTTTTAATTAAATATTAAACCTTACACTCATATTCATCATAAATAATTTAATTTTAATTTAACTTAATAATAATAATATTTATAACAATTAATATATAAATAATTATTTATTATTATATTAATAATAATAATAATAATAGTAGTAGTAGTGTCGGTAAGATTTTCATATTAGTTTAATTTTTTTAATGATTTTTTATTAAGTAGAAAAATGGGTCGTGAAAGCAAAACGTCATGATTTATGTATCCCAGGGTTGCCACGTACTGCATCATGATTTGTAGTTAGATTGATAATCTCCAGAGTGTAAGGGGAAGTTTTAAACGTAACTAAGTTTGTGAATTAAATTATACGTAAAAATGATAAGTTATATTTTCATCAGAACATAATTAGTATATTAAAAACATAAAGTTATATATATATCTTAATGTTTTTGGAGTAGAAAAGAATATCTGTAACCAATCAAAACTTTTAGAAAGTAAGTTATCTTTTCAACGAGAACAGCACTATCAAGATGAAGCGTTGCCTGAGGGCGTTGCCTTTCCAAGTGAGCTTAGGCTAGACGTTGGCATTCACCTTTGGAAGGTCATTGGCATGAAGGCAAATGTGCCAAGCCTTTCGATCGTTGCTCAACCCAAGGCTAGAGGTTGTGCTGCTGCTTAACGAGAAAGGAGGCTAGTTTGTGTAAACCACACCTTTGAATTTTTGTTGCTTTGGTTTGTATTTATTCAAATTTTTCTGTTTGTTTTTGGTTGAGATTATTTAAACTTGGTTTCTATTATTATTGTTTTGTCGTATTTAGTTTTGACAATATTATTGAATTTTAAGAATTACATTTATTGATTCTTTCATTTGGTTTTACTTATGATATTATTGTTATTAAATATTTTTTTATGGTGTTATATATATTTTTAATGTTGTTATATTAGTTTGTATTTCTTTTTTTGGATTTGTATACATTTTACGATGTTATAAGTAATTCTTTTATATCAGTTTTTTAACCGGCGTAGAAGATCATAAATAATTAATATTAAATTTTATAACTATACTAATATAATATATATATATATATATATATATATTAAAATTTAGTCGAGTAAGAAAAATGATTCATAATTTATTGTGTACAAGACTAAATCAACTTAGGATGATTGTAAGTAATTAGAAAGATATATTATATAATATAGTATGTAGAGATATTAAACTGAGATTTAAAAAAAATTATTTTGACTCTACTAGTCACTCAAATCAGATGAATAAAAAAAATTAAGTGAAAAATATTTTTTTTTAATAACTTTATAAAAAAAATTATATTTGGATAAATCATTTATAAATTTTAATCAGAAAACTCTCACTGGTCAAATTCCTTTTTGACTATTCTAAAAGATTATAATGTCTTTTTCTATAAATATATTGAAAAGACATTTTTTTTTCAATATAATAATTATGAATAAAATAAGATGCATATCTAAGTTGAAAGGTCAAGTGTTTGAAAATATTTATACGTTGGATTACCGAATTTGACTTTTTTTTTTTTACTGTTAGAAATAGGTAGTAATTAATGGTATGGACTTTTCTATTTAAATTTTGATTAGACCAATATAAAGAAGTTGTTAATAAGAATTATTTAAAAATAAAATTAATATTTTATTGTATATTATATACATAAATGATGTTAAATTAAAAAAATATTTATATAAAAACTTTAATTAATTTAAAAAATATATAATTTATAATAAAATTTTAACTTTTATTTTTAACAATGGAACATCTCTTTTGAAAATGTATAAAGTCCCACCACGTTTCTTTCAAATATTTCAAACTCAAAGTTTGACATCACACGATTTTCGTTTACTTACGTATGAAGGGTATGAACCAAGTTTTTTCTAATGTAGGAATTTAAGACTATATTAAACTCTCTAACATATAATATTTATATGATTTAACAAATTTTTTAACAAATATTTTTAAAAAAATAAGTTTCTTCACAAACCAAAATTATTTATATATAAATTAAAAAAATTAGAAAAACTACGTAATAAAATTTTATTAACAAATTTATAGATACGTTGATTTAAAATTATAAAATAAATTTTATATATATATATAAAGTGCTGAAGTACAGGTGGACCATCTTGACTTGAATATTTATTAAAGTATTACTAAGTAGGTGAGGAACATAGCAACGTGACGCAATTGTACCTAAAACATATGGTAGTGATATATAGACATTTGTATAATTTATTAATAAATGTAGATTTAATTTATATCTCACAAAAACATTATGTAAGTTTTGAACTGAAAACATTGTAATAAATAATTTATAATTACTTCATAGAATATAATTTTTCTTGGTAACAATTAACAATAATATTGTTAGTTTTTTTAATACTTAGTTTATCTCATGTGTAAATATATCTTTATTAATTGTTTAAATAATTAGTAATTTAACAAATGTCTTGAAATTATGAACATTTTTATAATTGGCCTCCTCTACCATATATTTATTTTTCCACTATATATTCACGCTAGGGACGAGTTACGATCTTGTAAATCTTTTACCCTTAACTCATTGAAGATTCATATAATAAAACATTTATGTACTCTATATTATTGTACATTCAATATTGTTTTTTATTTGACCAAATGACATGATTTAACATATATTTTATTTATGTCTTATATTTTTTCAGTCTTAATATTTAGTGACACTATGTATCAAGACATCATTTTCGTAAAAAATATATTTGTCATGGCAAGAGAAAAGACAGAACAATGTACGAAAAGATAGGAAAAATGTGGCGGTCCAAATTTGTGTGATGAATAATTGTTTTAGGGAGAGAGTGAAATTACGGTGATGGGCAATTGCCACATTTATTTGATGCAAATTTTGGATGTGTATGTTTGCATTGCGGCGAACTCTTTTGTGGCGGAAAAAGCTTTGCAGTGCACTAAAAAGTTATTGTACTTCCTTCTTTGCAAATTGATAAAAAGATAGACTTAATTCATATTATAATTTAACATGATAAAATGCTTATGTTTAGATTCACTTAGTTATTTTGTTTTTTTCGAACGTGCATAATTATGTTACGTATCATGTTTATATATGTACGATGATTTACGATAATCAAGTGATAAATAAAATGGGTTTGAAATTTAAGATTTGTTTGTTAGAAATAAACTTATATCATGATATACTTTTATTTTAACGATTATTCACCAACAATCGAAACGAAGACACACTAATAGAGATGTCTTTGTTTTCTATAGGTTTAGTTGAAAGTTTATATATATATTTTTTAATTTCAAATTATAGGAAGAAAAAAGAGAGCCTAAAAGTACACGGTAAAATTTCTCATAGGAGTGTATAACAATTAGTTTTCAGTGCAAAAGCCGGAAGACACAAAGTGTTAAATTTCAAATTGGTGACAATGTTGCTAAATTCATTAACTTGCACTACTTTCGCAATTAATTCAAACACGGCACTTGTGCCAAATATTCGAAATCAAGATCACTTGGATTTCATTGACTATTGTTCTTAGGTTGTGTTTCGTAATGTAAATAACTTACTTTTTACTTTATTTTAGCCTAAAAGGTTGTTTAATTTAACAAATAAACCTGTTTTACTATTTTTATATTTAAAATGTAATCTTGAATATGTTTAACTAGAAAAATAAGCTAACCTAGAACTTTTTGCTTCTACGGAATTAGATTTTTTTATTGACTTTTAAATTAAAAAAAAATACTATTTACACAACATTTAGGTTTAAAAGTTCATATCTTTTTTTTCTAATTTTTATTTTCACTATTTTATTAGAATTCTTCTTTTATGGTTATTTATTCATTTTATTTAAAAATTTATTTTTATTCAAATTAAAATAACTATTTTAATTTAAAGAAACATTTTGTATTAACTTACATAATAATTTATTTAAAAATAAAGCACAAAAAATCTAGATAATTACTCGTAAGGTCCATAAAATAACAAGAGAATTCAACCAAATCATTAAATTTAATTTTTTATAACGTAAAATGAATAGATTTATATATGATATAAATTATAAGATGATAAGTTATTCGAAATATAAAATAAATAATGGTTTAAATCTATTGAAATGAAAGAAAGTTGGGACGTACAAAATAAGGTATGCAGATGACGACATAGCAGTGATGTGTATAAATGACTCATGGTGTATCAACTTTTCGTGTCATCATTGCTTACATCAGATCAACCATTTCAAATATCTTACTTCTTTAATTTTCAATCACATTATTATGACCTTTACATTTATGTTTATCTTTGGAGATAAGCTTCTGTTTGTTATAATTGATTTAGTGTTTGAGGAGTGATTATAAATTATTTGAGTGAATTGATTCAGCATAATTCAGAAATTTGCAACAAAAACAAAAACTATTTGGGTAAATATTTTGATATGAGATCTATTTGAAGAGAGTGATTTATTTTTTTTATTTATCTGATAAATATTTATTTTGTCAACGTTTAGAATTGATTTCACTTTCAAATTGAAGTAATATTTCTACACATACTTCGTATTCCAATTATATCCCATTATGTTAAGAAATTTGTGGAGTGTAACAATTCTGTAAAATAAGAAAATGGAATTCTAAGTTTAAGTATCCAATTGCAAAAGGTTAACGTATTATTTGATTTTTTAATTTACGTAAAATTGAATATTTTATTTTAAATAATAAAAAAAAGACAAGGATACAATACAAACAATAAAATAAAATAAAATTCTTTTTTAAACAAAAAGCTAACAAATGATATTAAAGATATGTTCCTATAGAAATACATAAAATAAAGTGAGATCGGTCATAATTCCTAAATGCAAACGCACACCTAATCTTGTGAAAATAAATCCATTAGGTTTCTCCTCCAATTTTACTTCTATTGTTTGATGTTATAATGGAAGTCTATGGTGACGTTTGGTATCTATGAAAAGTAATTATAGATGTATAAAATGTCTAAAACCTATTAGGTAATCTGCCCAATTAAAAATCCATAAAGAGTGAAAGTAGAGAAAACCATAAACAAGAGCTACCTTGTTGTAACTTGCAATAATATCATCCACTCTGCTAACTGAAATAATGACAAGAAACATTCAATCAATTTTTTTTTCGTTTTTTTAAGAAAGAATATGATGGAAATGAGAAAGTGCATAGGGTACTATAATTCTTGCAAAGATTTCAAGAGGGAACTTTCTAAATAAAAACTACAAAAATAACAAAGACAATCAAAATAACAATTACTAAGTTTTCACCTTATTCTTATTAAAAGAAAAATAATTACTTTCACAACAAATGTTGATGAAAGTTCAAGTCTTGTCAGAGGCAAACCAAATGAGCTGTTAGTCATTGAATAAAGTATTTTATTATATTATTAGAAATTAAATTGTTAATTTTATTATGTTAAACTTCCTTGGAAAATATATACATATAAATATACATATTACTGTAGTTTATTTGGAAAAATTTATTAATCAATTAAAAAGAAATAAGAAAAAATATTTTAATTAATTTGAATTTAAACAAGAAAATAGATAAAAACAGCATGAGCCATAAAAATATTTTGACAAAAACAACAGTAATAACATTTATCACGCACTGAATTAAAATTAATTCTCAGTATCATAAAATAATTATATTTATTTTGATTTTGATTATTTTTGTATGCATAAAAAATATTTTTTTTATTCACTGCTTACTTAAACAAATTTTGAAATATGTAATTACTTTGGAATTTAATATTTTAATTGCAACAAACTTAAGTTTTGCTAACCATTAATTGAGTAAATTACACTAGCAAGTCTTATAATTTTCTAAAATTACATTGAAACTCAAGTTTTATTTCTAAATTTTAAACATCCGTACCCTTATTAAAAACATTACACTTACAACCTATGCATTAAGCCCACTGTAATGGGAAAACAAAACCAGAGTCCAGAAAAAAATATCAAAAGAAATGTCAGTGTAATTATCTATAATAATATATACAAATATTTGTAAACATTCTTTAGTGTCATTTTTAATAAATTACTTATCTTAAATCAATTTCTAACAAATATAAATAGAATATAATTTTATTTTTTCCACTGCTTCAATCATGTTTTCTTAAAAAAAAAATTCAAATATAAATTAATAAAATATAATTTATTCCTTCCTCTTTCAACTACACCTTATTTTTTCTCTACTCGTGAACTTCCCTTCCAAATTTATTAATATCCAACGATACATACTTTTAAAGATAAATATATTTTAAAACTGATATTAAATTTTAATATTTTTTAAAATAAAATATACAGACAAATGCATATATGTTTCTGTTAGTTATTATAATACGAATAGTCTTATTTTTTTTCTGAATTGAATACAGTTTTAAAGAAATACTATTAAAAGAAATTGAAGTTCTACTAAAGGTATTAAATTATTTTAAAATGTATGTAATGTTGTAGCATATTGTTAGTACTTACAAATATTGTCATCGATAAAAGAAAATTTCAAAATTAATATTTTTAAATCAATTCGAGATCCCCTATGTTGATAGCGATTGAATGCATTTTCATTGATTATTAAACATCCCATTAACAATTTTATATTTTAGACAGTTAACCAATTTTCATGAAAGGTAATGAATAACACTAGGAATGAATCAGAATATCCAATCCATCATTCGTTCCCAATTTGGACTTAAATTATTCTGTACTATTCTTACCTCTTCGTATAGTCAATTCTCCAACCAGACCGCAATCCTCCATAGATATGGAATGTGCATCTTTATCAAATGCCACAACTTTTATGATGCAAATTGAGCATCGAACCAACACATTTTTCAAAGTCGCCTATCAATAAAAGTACACGAGGTTCATAAAAGAGCTGGAAACAGCCCTAGACACGAGTGAGCTTTGCCCACACGCCCCGTCTGCAAAATTTCCACATAATAAATTAATAATACAAAATCATCTCAACTTCCAATAGACAACTCTAAACAATCGGCCAACAAAGATCCGAAGGAAAAATTTACTGCTAGCAAATGTAAACTAAACGTGATACCTTGCTGACAAGCTATCTGGCGTGTAGGAAACTGTACAAGGAATGGTAACGATAATCTAACAGAATTACTCTTGTGGTCAACTATATCATCCAAGAGATCAATACATTATGCAATCATTGTAACGGTTTCAGGAGCACCAATTTAAGGCTACAGTACACACAAATTTCAATACTTTCCCTCAATAAACGGTTAGAACTCAAAATTTTGATGTGAACGAGTTCTTACCAGTACTTGCCGGCAGCATACATATGCAAAACTAAAATAAAAAAATGCTCTAGTTTATAAAAAAGATTTATTGCAGAATGTAATGTCTTCTAGAGGAAGATGTTGATTTCCTTTTCCGTCATCTCCAAAACATGGTCTCTTGCATCAGCCAAGGCACCCTGTATATCAAGTATGTTAGATATTTTTAATATTGTTCAGATATTATTAGATATTGTTAATCATAATATCAAATAATATCTTCTGGTTACTTTTTTAGTTGTATCTCTCTTTATTATAAATATATTGTTTTATGTGTGGTTAAGACACAAGGAAAATTAACCCTATACAGTTTTTTCTCTATATTCAATATAGTATCTAGAGCTTAAGATTTTTGGAAAAAAAAAAAAACCATCCCTACCATTGCAACAGTCGTTGTCACAGCCACCACCACTGCCGCCGTCGCCGCTATCGTCGAAGTGACCGTTCTAACTGCCGAGCAAATCGCCTCGACCATGCGACCTCCACGGTGGAAGTTTCGCCGTCATCAGAGCATCCACGCTCCCTCACGTGCCACCTAAAGTCACATCACCGTCTCGCATTGTTGCCGCACATGGCAGCGCATCGTCCCTCCGTTCAGGCCGCCGCCACCTGCGCTGGATTCACCTCCTTCCCCTCTTTCTAGACCTGTTCTCATTGCTTCGATCAGACCTCTTTGGTGTTTTAGGATTTTTCTCTCTCTTCCTCCATGGCATCTTCCACTGCCCTCTTCCGACTCTGATAAATATTCCCATGTCCGTGACCAGATTTTGGGTTCCCCTGTTACATCCAATATTACTTCTACGAGTTTCTCCCTTCTACGTGTGCCATGCAAAGGACGTCACAAATGTGACCATTATGTGAAGTTAGGCTACAAAATTGACTGATGTTATGCTTTACATGGTCCTCCTCCTCAATCTATTGTTGTTGCTCAGACTGATCCTTCCTCACAATCATCTGTAGTGGATCCTCCTTCATCTGCTCCCCCGGCATCAGACAAATCTATCATCTTCAATGATTTTCTTAAATGGTATGAGGATCGTAAGCCCTCTAGTTCCACTGCTTCTATTGCACACACAGATACATATTTTGCTGGTCTAACTCAATCTTCTTCTATTAGCCCTTAGGTTCTTGACTCAGGAGCCACAAATCACATTACTGATAACAAATCCTTATTTTCCTCTTTCTCCTCTCCTCATAATTTACCCTTTGTTACAATGGCTAATGGGTCTACAACTTTAGCTCATGGTGTTGGAACAGGTAACTTTTTTCCTTCCTTATTCATTGATAATGTTTTATATGTACCCGGGTCCCCCTTTAACTTGTTATCCATTAGCTGTCTAACTCATTCTCTTGATTGTGTTATCTCTTTTACCAAAACTTCTGTTTGTTTACAGGATCGAAGTTCGAAACAAGTGATTGGCACCGGATGTGAGTCACATGGTCTTTATCATCTTCGACCTTTTACACATGTTGACACAGTTATGGAGTCTCCTTCTCTCCTTCACGCTCAATTTGGTCACCCCACTTTGACCAAATTACAACTTGTTCCCAACTTATCCCGGTTGTCCAGTTTGGCATGTGAGTCCTGTCAATTAGGGTAATTCCTTTCCTCGTAGTGTTTCACAGCGTGCTTCATCCCCATTTGCCTTAGTTCACTCTGACATTTGGGGACCAAGTCGTATTAAGTCTAATTTAGGTTTTCAATATTTTGTTACTTTTATTAATGATTACTCCCGATACACTTGGTTATTTTTAATGAAGAATCGTTCTGAGTTGTTTTCCATATTCCAAACCTTTTATAATGAAATTAAGAATCAATTTGGTGCTTCTATTCAAACTTTCCGGAATGATAATGACCGTGAATATCTTTCAAACTCTTTTAAACAATTTATGACTTCTCATGGCATTCTTCATCAAACTTACTGTGCTTATATACCTCAACAAAATGGGGTAACTAAGTGCAAGAATAGACACCTTATTAAACAACTCACTTTTTTAATTCATGGTGCGATTCCTCAACATTTTTTAGGTGATGTTATTCTTACTGCATGTTATCTTATTAATCGTATGTCTTCTTCAGTTTTAGATAACAAAATTCCTCATTCTATTTTATTTCCTCATGACCCTCTCCATGACCCTCTCCATCCTTTGCCTCTAAAGGTTTTTGGGTCCACATGTTTTGTCCACAATTTTGATCCTGGTCATGATAAGTTATCTCCTAGATCACACAAATGTGTTTTTCTAGGATTTACTCGATCACAAAAATGATACAAGTGTTTTTCTCCTTCTCTTAATCGTTATTTTGTGTCTGTAGATGTCACTTTCAATGAGTTTTCCTTTTAATTTAAGGGTCCTCTTCTACCTGATGAGCCTCCATCTACTACTGTTCACATTCCTATTATAATTGATCCTCCTATTAAGCATAATCCACCATCGGACCCTCCTCCTCCACCACCCCTTCAGGTTTATAGTCAAAGACCTCGTCCACAACAAACACCACATGACTCACTCCCAGTGCCAAATATTTTATCTCCTCCGGCTCTGCCCACTAAGTCTGACCTTCCTATTGCCATTCGTAATGGTATACGTTCTACTTGTAATCGTTCTCCACATTATACTGCTTTGAGTTACCATAGAATTTCTTCACCTTTTTATACCTGCCACTCGTCTATCTCTTTTGTGTCTATTCCTAAATCTGTCCATGAAGCCTTAGCCCACCCTGGTTGGCGTCAGACCATGCTAGATGAACTCGGTGTTCTTCAGAATAGTGGAACCTGGGAGCTCTTCCCATTATCATCTGAAAAATCTGTTGTTGGTTGCAGATGGGTCTTTGCTATCAAAGTTGGTCCTGATGGTATTATTGATCGCCTCAAAGCTCGACTTGTAGCCAAAGGCTATACCCAAATTTTTGGATTGGATTATGGTGATACTTTCTCTCCAGTGGCAAAGATGACTTCTATTCATTTATTCATCGTCATGGTTGTTCTTCAACAATGACTTCTTTATTAACTGGATGTCAAAAATGCTTTCCTTAATGGAGATTTGCAAGAAGAAATTTATATGGAGCAACCTTCGAAATTTGTTGCTCAGGGGGAGTCTTTTGGATTGGTATGTCGTCTTCACAAATCTTTATATGGCCTAAAACAGTCTCCTAGGGCCTGGTTTGGCAAATTTAGCAGCGTTGTTCAACAATTTGGCATAACTGGAAGTGAGGCAGACCACTCAGTCTTTTACCGTCACTCAAGTGTTGGATGCATCTATTTGATAGTGTATGTTGATGACATTATTCTTACAGGCAGTGACCACCATAACATCTCCCAGATGAAACAACACCTTTTGCCACCATTTTCAAACCAAAAATCTTGGCAAACTCAGATATTTCTTGGGTATTGAGGTGACACAATCTACCGATGACATTGTTATATCTCAAAGAAAATATGCATTGGATATTTTGGAGGAAACTGGATTGATGAATTCAAAGCTTGTTGACACATTCATAGATCCTAATACGAAACTCCTGTCAAATCAAGGGAAGCCTATGTCAGATCCTGAGCAGTATAGAAGATTGGTTGGAATATTAAATTACCTTATAGTTACTCGTCCTGACATTTCCTTTGCAGTCAGTGTGGTGAGTCAATTTCTCAATTCTCCATGTCAAGATCATTGGAATGCAGTCATCCATATATTAAAGTACATCAAAGGGTCTCCTGGAAAAGATTTGTTGTATGGTTCCAATAACCATATAATAGTTGTTTGCTATTCAAATACTGATTGGGCAGGATCTCCCTCTGATAGAATTTCTACATCTGGGTATTGTGTCTCCATTGGTGGTAATTTGATCTCGTGGAAAAGTAAGAAACAAAATGTTATGGCAAGATTCAGTGCAAAAGCAGAATATAGAGCTATGACCTCAGCTGCCTGTGAACTTGTTTGGCTCAAGCAATTGCTTAGAGAGTTACAATTTGAAAATGACACTTGTGTGTGACAAGGTTGCTCTTCATATTAGCTTTAATCCTGTCTTTTATGAGATGACCAAACACATTGAGATTGACTGTCATTTTCATTCAGGAAAAGATTATGTCTAGAGACATCAAGACTGAGTTTGTTAACTCAAGTGATCAGTTAGTAGATATTTTTACTAAGTCTTTACGGGGGCCTAGAATTGATTATCTTTGTAGCAAGCTTGGCATATACAATTTGTATGCTCCAAATTGAGGGGGAGTATTAAATATGTTTAGATATTAGTTGATATTGTTAGATATTATTAATCACAATATCAAATAATATCTTCTATTTATCCTATTTGTATTCAGTTACTCTTTTTAGTTGTACCTCTCTTTATTATAAATACATTGTCCTATGTGTGGTTAAGACACAAGAGAGATTAACCATATACAGTTTTTCCTGTATATTCAACAAAGTATATTAAGACCCATTAAAATAAAATAAAATGCAAGGTAAAACTGATAGCAATAGCACAAATTATATCACCTGCCCAAATTTTGTGAGGAAGTTACTTGCAATGTTTAGGGATGTGACAGCTACATCATCATTAGACTTGAGTGCTTGAGCAATAGCAAAAGCTCCATCATCCTGCAAATCAGACAATATATGACATCGGAGACAATATAATATCCGTATGAACCAAACAAAAAATACATTCATACCCTTATTTCATTAAATCCTAAATCTAGAGAGGTTAAAGCTTCATTAACCACTTTCAAGCTGCGAGCCAGGCACTGTGCACCCTGCAGTAGTTGAATGGTAAAACAATAACATTCTCAGATTGACTGACAAAAACTAAAAAAAAATAAAAAATAACAAATAAAAAGAAAGAAAGAAAGATTGAAGTGAAAAACGATTCAAGGCACTGAAAACAAACTTCATCTCTTAGTCCGTTTGCTCGCAAGTCCAAAATTGATATTGTGGTATTGTATTTTAAAGCATCTGCAATGAACTCTGCCCCTTTTGCACCTATCTATAGAGTTATTCTATGTCACAAATAGAAGTTATTGCAAACAATTTACAGGTATCATGTGAAAAGGTTACCTGGCACCATCCAAGCTTAAGGGTTGTTATGTTCCCATGAAACTTGAGAACTTCAGCCAAGGCCTTGGCTCCATCTGGTCCAATGGGATTATAACTAAGTTCCAACTAAGAATGAGATAAAATCTGTATTAGAGTATAGAAAAGACAAACATAACAAAGACGAGAAACTACATAACTGTTGAGGCTTACAGTGGTAATAACTAAATTATCTTTCAATACTTGAGCAACGGCATTAACACCAGCAGCATGAATGTTATTTCCCCCCTGGAATATTAACTAAGACATGTCATGTCCCAAGCAATAGTATTACATTACAAAGAGCAAACAAAAGAAGGATCTCTTCCTACCAGATCTAATGTTGTTATCGATCGATTTTCCTTTAAAGCAGCTGCAATTTTTTCGGCTCCCTGACAATTATACAGTGTAATGAAGATCGTCAGAACTCAATGTCTTCTTAAAAATCTGACTTCGTGGAATTATTAGTTTTGCTGTAGCAGTTGTTACCGTGAATACTACTAAGGGAAAAGCAAAACATAAGTTTTCTCAGGGATGACAATTTGGACCTACAACTACTAGCTATCAATTCCCAACCCACTCGTACAATTAAGACACTGAAAAGCATGATTTATGAGTATACGCATCAATTTAACATTCATATACTTGATATTTTATGCATCATATACTTGATTATTTGACAGAATAGTATGTAATATGTACTGATAAGTTAAGGAAAACTATCAGCATAATACTTAAACATCTTATATGATATCACAATCAGTGACACAATTTTGACAAGATTTATAATCTCATGTGAAATAGGGGACAGAATACCTCATCACCAATGTCATTCATGTAAAGATTCAACCATAACAGGCTTCTGCTCTTCCTAACATACTCAGCAACATGGAATGCACCTTTAGCTGTTAATGAGTTGTTGCCAATGTCTAGAAGTGTAAGTTTCCCTTGAGAACAAATACTGCTTGTCAGTTAATTGTATAATATACTAAAGGGGGATTGTAGAATCATAAATGACGCAGTCAAGACCAGAAATTAGTACAAATTAACCTTTATGTGAACATAATCCTGCCACCAAAGAACGGATTCCTTCATCTCCAATAGAATTTCCATGCAAATGAAGTTCCTGTCCATATATTAAAGTTCAGCATAAATCGTTACTGTTTAAGGCTGCAGCCAGATATTTCTCTGGTGGACGCAGCAAGATTTTGTAATTGTGACAAGATAATACATGTTGAAGGATTAGCGCTCAAACTTTCTAAGATATGTTTTGGAATTTGAGGTGTTCGTTCTGTTAGGAAATTCGTGATAACATTGTCTATACAAAACATGTTTTAGAACCGGATAAGATAACTCGACCTAGTGGCCAAGATGGGAATTATGAAAACTATACCATGAACTTAAAGGAGTGAATGTAATGTTGGGCATTTCACCCAAAGGAAAACAAGAACAGTACCCTTAACGACTTGTTGCTCTCAAGTGCTTTAGCCAATGCATTAGCCCCCAAAGCACCACCATAATTGCCACTTGAATAGTGATAATTGTTGGAAGAATTCACAAAAGAGGAAAAGAGTAAAGTAATGAGTATAAAGATTTACTCAAAAAAAATTCCAAGGTAAAATTGTAACATCAAAGGCATGAAGATCATAAAATGAAACTGCCATTTCCTCAAATTTTGGGGAGAATACTTAATGTGACAATCTCACTCACTTGAGATGTATAGTTCGTATACTGTTATTCTCAAGAAGTGCTCCAGCAAGACTTGAAAATCCCTGCCTCCATTTCCGATAAACAAATTAAAATACTATTTGGACACTCACACATCTACTCTTAAAATAATCTTAGGTAAATTCCATACAGAATATTCAATCATGTTATTGTTCAATTCAAGAACCCGCAAACTTGAATTTTTCTTCAACATTTCAGCAATAGCTTTCGCACCCTGCATAACACAGCATTTCTTAGTGCCATTTGGTATCCATTCTATTACAAATATAAATCACCAAGCTAACCTCATCACCCAAGTCAGCACTGTTCAACTGGAGCTTCTCAATACTAGAGTTATTCACCAGTATGTCACATAAGCACTGTGAGGAGTAAACAATGAAATTGACAGTCAATATCTAAATACAATATTTATACCTAAGTGCATGACAATGAGTCAATGATCAGCAATAACTAGCTGTCAACAAAATTATATTCTTTTATCTTTTAGAGAGAGGATGGGATGGTTTATACATATATCTCAAACATAGTTCTAATATCAACATTGTTATATATAAGTAAGTCATCAGCTTCTTAATCTTTAGTCCATGATTCTTTAGGGCAAAAGAGAAATGAATATATTCTAGCAAATACAGTATCATAGAGTAACTGTGGCACAGCTATTCATATCATCATGCATAAGCTTGATATAGGATTGTAGATTCTCAAACAGTGAACAAATATGGCTATGTATGTATGTATGTATGTCAATTTTATAATCATCCGTTGTACTCCTCATCTGCACTTGAATGGATACTTAACTAGCCACAAGTAAGACATTCAACAGATTGAATTTATTCCAAAGGAGTTATAGCACCCTAAAATCAGTGAACCATGATCCAGTAAAATATTTGACTTGTTCTTTCTAGGATAACCTTACAATATAATATTTGATTGAAAACAGACTCAAAAACATAAGCGAAATAGAAAATACCGAGTGCATCAAATCAAACTCAATTTATTCTACGACAGTAAAGTAATGGTTATAAAATGTTTGGAGGCAATAACAAGGATCATTACAGAACATGTAATACACACAACCATTGATCAGTCAATAACAAGGCCAAGGTCTCCATACAGGGGTGTGCAAATAATTCAAATATTCAATTGTAATCCATAATCATACTGATCCAAATCACTTTAAGTCCATTTTAATGGATTCGTTTCATATCAAATCCATACTTTTGAATTTTAAAAATCCAAAATCAATATTCATCCTAAGAAATTGTTTGCTCAAAATAACTAGAGACATTTTTTACTCGATCAGCAAGTGTCTTTTTTGGTTTTGATCATGGTTGAAACATTGTTGTGTTGACCTCAACTCGAGCATAATCAGTTATTATATCTAAACTAGGTCTTGTTCATCACATAAATTATTATTTGTTCTCTAAATAATAATATTAAAAAATACGAAAATTTCAGCAAGTCATTATATTAAAAATGGACATAGGTGCTCAAACTGCCACAAGATAAAAAAACGAAAAAAAGCTTGTAAGCAAAAGTAATTAAGCAGTGAGAAAAAGTAATATATAAAGGGGAAAAAAACTTCAATAAGAATCATTAAACACTTGTGTCCTCCTATTGAACCATTGTATTATTAGTCACTGTATATGATCACTCCTTTTCCCAAAATTAACAATTTAATCTTAAAAAACATCTTAATTATTGAGTAAAGAATATAACACCTAAATTAATTCAAATAAAACATATTTGAATTTATCAAATATAATAACCTCAATTTTAATGTCAATTTTAACCAAATTAAATGGAATAAATTGATATAGATTTAATATAATTTAAAAGTAAATTTAAACTAGATTAAAAATATCCAAATCAATTTGATCCAATTAAATGGATCTGGATATCAATTTGATGTCAACAATTTAAACAACCTGTTTAAGGAAAAGATAGACTAGAATTATATCAGAAAAGGCATTGTTAGCTGTTAGCATGTTAACCCTACATGCTTACCTTCTCTAAAATTATTTGTAGAAATAAGACTGTAAATTGAATAGCTCATTACATTTTTTTCATTTTTGAGATATCAGTGTTCAAAAAATAAACTAAGAATGAAATTGATCAAAACAAAGCGGGATGTTTCATAGTTGCTCCATCTCACAAGCATGTCAGAAGTAGCAAGCAAGAACTTCTTTTATTATTAATGGTCACAACAACAACATTAACAATAATAATAGTAAATATTACGAATTAATAACAGAAAAATAACAGCCTCCGGAATAAATAAATGCAAGAGCATTTATCTAAATAGTTATAATCTCATCATTAACATGGTATCAAAGCCTCAGTGACCAAGTTTTCTTGTGGCCCCAATTTCGATGTAAAGGTTGAACTTCAACATAAGGTTGTGGGCCTGTAAACTGCCATTATTAATAGTCCAATGACTCTTGCCTATGGGGAAATTTTAGAAACAAAAACATTCACGAGACTTCACATAACAATTCAAAATTTTTGAGTTGGTTATTGACATAAGTGTATGAACGCAAACAACTTCTAATAAAATTACCCAAACATACATTTAAGGACCTTTAAAAAAATGATGTAAAAAAAGGAACTGTCACATAATTACCCAAATCCTGAATTCATAGAAACATTTACTGACCTTGGCACCTTCATCTCCAACAAGGTTTCCTGAAAGATCAAGAGTCTTCAATGTGATGTTTGATTGGAGAACACCATCAAAAGCCCTCAACCCAGCCGCTGTTATTCCATTTGCAGCAAAACTCACTTCCTCTGCAGTCTTTATAACAAAATATATTCAGCATATGCTCACAGAGAGAGTATCAAAAAACATTTTTTAGTACACTATTTTCTTATGAATTGGATCAAATTGAGATTATGAACCAAAATCCAACTTCCACACAGCTAATTTCACTATAGAGCAAGATTGGTTCATATAGATTATAACGGAAATACAAGTTTCTGTGCAATCTTGGACTTTATTAACTGATAATTTATATGTTTCTCAATTAATCAACCATAAATAAGGGTAATCAATTAATTATAACAAATGTAATTCTTTAGGTACCATAAATAAGGTTAATTAATTAATTTATATGTTTCTATTTGAAAATTTGTTCTATCCAATTTGTTAACAAATTCTCTGCTGGAAATAAGAATATTTAAGGAGATTTATGAGCTTCTATAGTATTTATTCTTTCTAAGTAACCTAGATACTTGATAATAGATATATTGAGGTTCAGTGCATCTAAGGCGGTAGTGGTATCTTAATTGTTCTCCCATAAAATGGTTTGGCATCAATTATCTTTGAAATACTCTTGAATATAATATAAGTTCATTCTGTTAGGTGTAAAATACACTAGAGCAATTTAAGAAAATATTTGTTTCTCTTTTCTCGCATGGTATCAGGGCTCCTTACCCGGGGCTCTAATTCTGCAAAAAATGTCTCCATAGAAGGTTTGACTAGACTGCGCTGTCAGCCATCCAAAAATACAGTTGGAATTTTCAGGAAACCATCATATTTTCCAGCTACATTCCTGCGCAGTGTCATATTTCAGACAATTTGAATTTCTCTAGCAACTGTCATGTTTTCCAGCCACTATCAAAACATCTCCTGTTAGAACTTTCAAGCACTTTTCAGCTCAATAATTAGAACTTTCCCAGCAGCTTTCTTAGCCACATTACATCTTTTCCAGCAACCACTGACCTATCTCAAAGTTCATTTGGCTCCAGTTCTCTTCTTGTGCTGATTACCGTTTTTGCGGGAACAATACAAATTTTAATATCCAAATCTAATAGGCTCTCTTCTCTTGGTTTTTGTTTGCTATGGAAAAGGGAGTTTATGCCATTCTTGACTATTACACTGATGCTAACCATGCAAGGTCGTGACTAACAAGAGGTCCACCATTCGATATTGCACCTTTCGTGTTGGAAATTTAATTACTTAGAGGAGTAAAAAGCAGAATGTTCAGGCTCAGTCTTGTACCAAAACTCAGTTTCAAACTATTCTCAAGGTATTTGTGACGTACTTTGGTTGAGAATTATTTTCCTAAGGCTTGAAGGTAAAATGGGATGAACTTATAAAACTCTAACCTATTCACAAAGTACTTGTGACCTACGTTGGTTGAGAATTATTTTAGTAAGACTTGAAGATTAGATGGAATGAACTTATACAACTCTAATGTAACAATCAATCCCAGAGGGGACGAGTTGGAAATAGGAATATTCAAGAGATTAGAGCTTCAGTTTTTTTTTTTCCAGGTACCTTAGCTAGATGATAGATATAATATATTGAACTTCAATAAATCTTAGTATTTATCTTTAATTGTTCTCTTGTAAATTGTTTTGGCATTAGTTAAATTTGTAAATATTTATTTCAATACACTAGTTTCTTTTCAGCATATTCTGTAGACCAAAAGTGGAACCTCTGTTGAAACTCATTAACTGGGGCTTTGCAGACACTAATATTAACTGACTATCTAAACCTATGCATTCATCATAAAACCCTTAACCTTGAAAGACTACAAGATTAAGTAATTTGGGAAGCATAATTCAATCTCAGAAAGAGCAGATGCCATGCCTCGCCACTGTAAGTTGCATATCTCTAAATGGATTCACTGACTGTTATCTCAACCTTCAATACGTTTTTGTGGACTTACTAGCGCTGCCGACCTTTACAGATACACTCACATGGACTTCATATAACATGCAGACCAGTAGCTGAGGCTCACATATGAACTTATTTAAAGTACATGTTGAAATATTCCAACATTAATAAAATCGACTAAGCCACGATGACATTCTGATCTCAGTTATATTTGGGGAAGAAAAATACTTAATAATTCAATGTGTTAAAAGAAACACAGCAAAATGAAGTCCTGGATTTTCCTTCATACCATTGCGTAAATCTGCCATATTTGAAGCAAGCTGTTATGTGTGGCATATGATAGTTATGCTAACACTTATGTTTGGCATTCAAAGATATATTTAGCTATTTAGTAGATTTCTTCATTTACATAGCTGAAGCAATAAATACTCAAATCATTCTGCAATATGACTGTACAGAAGGTAACATCACACCATCTCTTTTAATAACAGTATCAAAACATGCAGCTCATCCATAAGCGATAAATATACAAGAAAATATGAAAGCAATGATAAATGAAGGATAGTTGTTACCTGGTTAAATGCTAAGCTCTCAGCAAGGAAGAATAATCCTTCATCTCCAAAGTTGCGCCCTGCCAAATTTATGAATAAAAAATCAAGTATTTGTGCTTTTATTTATCCATTCATTTCTATGGAACCCACATTTTAGAATAGTCATGTAACTAGACTCAACTGCAATGAAGCAAGAAATATCTAGTGTGTTATGAGTGATTAAAATATGAAATTGATTTGCTATGTTTGAAATGAACTAATTGAACTTATAAATCAAATCTTGTTTTTATCCTAATAAAACCATATAGTTTAAATTGATTTACAAAATACATTAGCAATCAAAGAAGTCCATTTTAGTTAAGTAATTTTCTTTATAACATGCTTACCCAGAAAACTTAAGTAATTTACTTTATTATCCTTATTAAGATTGTGGTGAAGTGGGTAAACTAATAAGAACGAGATTGTAAAACTAATTGAACTAAAGTCAAATCAAATCCAGTCACAAAATGAGTATATTTCTAGATCAACACAAATCAGAAGGATTTCAAAATCAAATAATTCTTCCTTAATTATCCAACAGAAAATTTCAATTACAAATCAAATGAATTCCTAAAAGTGTGGAAGGACATTAAGTTGAAAAGAAAGAAATCAAAACAAGGAGACACAAACATTCAATTGAATATGTATAGTCTTATAGATCAAGTGAAGGCCAATATCGATTAGATTAGGCAATAAAAACTTTGGTATCCATGAAAAAAATGGATCAGATTCAAACCACAAATGATAAAATAACTAAGCTAGGCAGCAAATGCTAAAACTTAGGCAATATCTTTCTCATTTATCAAATTTTATATCTAGCCAGCATACCTGACATATCAATAATAGGAAATGACCTCAGTTCCCGAGCAAACTCATTGAGCTTCTGTTTAGACTGTCTCTCAATCTTTGCCCCAAGCTGGGATAACAAATTTGTACCAGCAGCAAAAGACCATTTCAGTCCTTGTGAAGGGGGTTGACTTTCCACGGTGGAAGATTTCAATTGTTTTGGAGCTGGAACAAGAAGCCTCTCCACTAATTTCCAGATAACTGTAAGCTGAAAACAAATTAGTACAACCACTATTATGAAATCTAACAATAACAAAACAAAAACAAAGAAAAGGACAGGACCCTACTAATAGCAGCAAACACTGCTTAACTGAGAAGCATGGATATTTCAAAATTTCTACCCAACTAGAGTCAGATATCTACTTGAATTAGCTACCCAGTAGGAGAGATACACATGACAATTTTGTGTACTTGAGTCCTAAGGGGGAGGAGTGGGTTACGGGAAAAATATTAAAGAAAAATCAATTGTATAAAATATTATTAGGGTTTCAAATCATTAAAAGGAGCAAGGCATCTCCAGGGAGAAAAGAGGTTCCACACCTGCAGATCATATCAGATACTTTTCAAACACCAATGTTTCCTGTACAACTTTGCAATGTATAATTTTTTACTGTTTTCAATTTTGTGCCAATACAAGTGAATATATCATAGAGCTTGAGTAATCTATAATTCTAGTTGAGCTCATTAGTTGATTCAAACAAGTTCAATAATTACATTGAGAAGAATAAGTTAAATAGCATGCAAACTCAAGCTTGATACTCAGCTAGACTAGGGCAAACTCGTATAACCTCAGTCAAAATGCCAAGTATGCTATCAAGTTAGCAAATATATGTAAAGGGGTAGAGATGTGCCCCCAAAATGACCAAACAGCACTGTTTTTTTAAGGTTCCTTGGTTATTTTATTTCTTCCCTTCTGTGTTTTCCCAATCACTTTCAAGGCACATTTCTCATTTGGTTTCCACAATAACTCCTCTGATGGGCCTCCAGGCTGAGGAAAACCTATGATGACCATAATCCATGGATAAACCTGAGATGCAATTACCATGACCTGCAAAGGCGGCTTGTTTGTCAGGCTGCAACAAGCCTGCAAGGCTGTAACTGCCTGTAATGCCTGAATCTGAAATTGCAATGAGTGAACAAATGTAGCCTTTTCTCAAACAACGCCCTGGGTGAACATGATGTCATTCCCATCTGTTATTTTTCGTCTGAACTTGCAATATAAGTTGCCAACTTCAGAATTCAAGATCATTGGGAATAGGGATTGGCTGATCATTTTGAACCAATATCACCTGTAATTGTGATAATTGATCACTATGAAGCAGGAAGGTTAGATATTTAATATTTTATGGTATAACATTTTGTTTGGATACTATGATTATGCTTTTTTTAATATTATTAATAAGTAAACTCTTAGAAGTACTCAAAGCCTTCTTATGTTTCCATAAACTCTCGAGTCTGTTAACCATGTATTCAATATTTAATAGTAAATTACATCCTCCTATCTAGAGAAATGCTTAAATTATACTAACTTCCCTCTAATTTAAAAAAAATACAATTATTTTGCTTAATAGATGAATGTGTTCAATCATATTAATATCAAATGAATTTTCCAAGGATACTCATTTCTCTTAGTTATGATTGGTGCCATCATCAACAATTGGTTTTGAACCTCAAATATTAAAATCCATCTCAAAAGATACCAAGGTGGAACCCTAACTAAGGATTCTTGGAGTAACTAAGGATTCTTGTAGTTCCGAAGGATCCAGCCACAAGAGAACGGGGATCGAAGAGCTTCCTTGCCCTCTATTTTTTTGCACTTTTTTTAACAAGGTTCTAAATAAAAAGATCGCTAAATCACCATAGCTTACTGATCCTATTGTGATATTTTTCCATAAGTAAGAAAATAATCGTAAATGCATTTTACTTCTCCATAAGCTAAAATCAACTTAAATACACCTTGATTTTCAGAGAAGTTAAGTGGAAAGAGCTTCTACAGAAGTTCTCCCAAAGCCACTTATAAGTCAAAACTGAAATGTCACAAAATCATTAACGTTCCTAACTGTTATGGGAATTGACCTTAACCTGAGACCAGGACATTCTCCTTCCTAACTGAACAATTAACATACGGTTCCAAATTCTGTCATTCATAATGAAAGTCACGTAGAAAGGACAAAAGCGTCTTTGAAATGTTCATTCATAACGTTCTACCACCGCTAAGAGAAAGTGTACCTCTTGGTCTAACAACAAGTGAGAGTTATGACAATACGATTACTCGAAACCGATATTGGGACGTACAGTTTCCATGCATCATGGATTAAAATGCAGGCCACGATATGAACTACTAAAGACCGAGTTGAAATAGCGAAAAAACAAGGAAAATTAAGCACTAGATACCAAAAGTGAGGGCGACCAACACAGCGAAGGGGCCAACAGCGTTGGCAATCTGTTTCACAGGAGCACTGGACAGCGGCGCGTTGGCCTGAGACTGGCGATAGACTCTGCGAGAACCGGCGGCGCGTGAGCGAGTTCCTTCGACGCTCGAAGAAGCCCTAACCACGAAGCTTCCGAATCGCGCTCCCGGAGAACGCTTTTTCCGGCAGTTGAGAGACGGAAGCGGCGCAAATTGAGCGACGCCGGCGGTGGTTAAGGCCAACGATTGCAGCCGCTGGTTGCGGAGGCGAACCTGCAAAAGAGCTAGGGTTTCAACGACGAAGAACGAAAAAGAGGAGAAGTCAACGACGGAGTTGGTTACCTGCGGGTGCGAGTAGAGAGAGAGAGTAGAAGTGAAAGCCATAGCTTGTTATCAATGAAGGAGCATAGAGTGGTAGACAGATGAAAGAAGGAATCACAAATTATACATATATAACGAAATGGATTTGTATGCGGATTTTCGCGGAGAGAATGCAGAGGAAAATGGAGGAGCCAGTAAGGTCGCCCGCTAGCTATGAAGCATGTCTCGGTGGTTCTATTGCGTTCTATTCTATCAACTACTGCCAGTGACAAGCTCGGTGTGTCTGTCTGAGGGGGTGAAGGGGCTCGCAGGGCCCAATAGAAGAGGCCGTGATAAACAATATAGCCCAATACCCAACAAATTTGACAATCCACTTGCCTTTATTACTAATGGGCCCGCAGCCCAGTACGTTAACCGTATGTTTTTGTGACACGAATACAAACTCAAATAACTATGGGCTTCGCGAATTGAACCTTAAACAAGTTACTGTAGCCCGTTAACCCACCCCTAATTGTTAGAGGAAGGCATTGTGTGATTGCAGGTGGGGGTGCGGAAAGAAGAAGTTGGGTGTGGTGGGGAAGGGAGTAAGTAAAACACAAATATGAGATTTAACTGAATAAAACATAAAATAATAAAAATAAACCATTATTCAATAAGTAAATAAGTTATACCTTCAAACGCTAAAAATAAAGTAATAGAAAGTAGGAAAATTAAACCTATCATGAGATGCTCTAATAACTCATAAAAATAATAGAAAGTAATATTTAGAAATAACCTCGTAGAAGATATGCAATCACTTTAACAAGTTATGTAAGCGAAAAAATTACCCGTGCATTATACAGGTTAAAGTACGGATAGTTTCATTTAAAAGAAAAGTCATAATCACTTGATGATAGTGGGTCCTATTATGAAAATCATGAATTACGAACTATTCGTAGATTATTGTTTTCTAACATAATTATATTTAGTTAGTGTTGTTTACCTCTAAATATTGTACTTGGCATAAATTAGTTCGTACTTTCTAGTACTTCTTGTCCTTGACATGACATCATCTCTTCTGTCGCGTACTTCATATGTGTCGAGAAATGATCCTTAACTTTCGCCAAATATATAAAGATAAAGATGACAAACAAAATGAGGTTTTAAAGAAAAATAAAGATAATTACATAAAATATCTCATATTAAACTATACAGCGGATATCCGATTTTGACTGTGTTTAGAGACACTCTTGGGTGATTCTCCTTTGAGAATTTAAACAGAGTGACAGTAACTATTATGAATGCATATCTGATCTGATATGGTTAATAATGACATATTTCTAAACATTTTCATTGATGAATTGAGATGGATTATGCAGATCAAACGTTTTTATTAAGTTGTTAGATATTAAAGAGTAATATGATTCTGTTAAATGAATTTGACTAATGGCCTTTAAAGGCTTTTAAAGTGGCATATATTATATTCAAAATAATAGTCAATAAATTGGGTATAGATGAAAGAAGTATTATTCTCTTTATTATAACATCATTATTAATTATATAAACATATGCATTAATTATTACGTCCATGAATTGTAGAAGTCAACTAATGCTGCTATATATACAATACGACCTACTTAAACCAATATGTTAAGCAAGAACTGAAGAATTCTACACCTGAGAACTTTGCAAGTATGGCTTCACAAGTCAAATTCTCATTCTTCATGGCCATTTTCATCGTTTTGGCTACAGTTGTAGCTGCTCATGATGGTCATCATCACATGGCTCCTGCACAACCACCTTCTAGTCATGCAAGCAGCAGCTTCAGCAACCATCATGCAGTGATCGCTGGAATCTTTCCTCTTCTGCTTACTCTTCTCATTGCCAGAGAGAGACCTTGAAGACTTTCAGTTTGTGTCCATAGCTCCTTGTTTCTCTTGTGTGCTGGTTGGATTTTGGTATTAATAAGCTGTGTTCTGGATGTTATAACACACAAAAAGTGTTTTTTTTCATGGTTATTATGAGAATATAGTGATTATGATTTTTTTTGTATCAATAAACTTTCATGTGCTTAATATAGAGATGGAACTATTTAATTGGGTTTGTTTGCAGGATTTCTGCTCAATTTTGCACAATTCCACACAAGGGGTATCCTCAAAGCCTTATATATTTTTTTCCTTGTGGCACCACTTCGTGGAATGAAAAGGTTATACAACTATGTCATACTTTTGATACAGGAATGTGAACACATTTCTATTATTTCATACTTCGTTTTTCTCCACTCTTCTAAACAGACTGTTAGTGACTGATAAGATGAAATGGAACTTTCTACATCATGGCCATTTTTCATTGAAACAATGGAGAAAACTTAGCAATGGTATGTTATAATTTTGGGAAGAAGAATAACATAAATTGGGATTTTAATACTTTTTGTGTGTGTGTGTGTAAAATTGGACAAATGAAAGTCATTGTGGGTCACTTAATGTGACAAATGAGCAACTTGCCAATAATAACTATCTCAATGAATGTCTCAATGATTAATTGGGCTTTGATAAAGTGAAGGATTAAGATATTGGGCTTACAATTCCTTGAAGAGAACCTTAATTGTATTAATGATATATTTTAACATTATTCCCCCTTCTTTCAAAGAAAAAAAAATCCCCTTAATTTTTTTTATGATTATTTATTCTATCCGGTTAAAATATCTAGGTAAAATTTAACTATAACTTTTAAAACTACTTATAAGTTAAAAACATTTTTTACTCTTTAAAAGATAAATAGAATTTATAATTTAGAAGTTGATATATCATTATATGGTGGATTAATACTTCTAAAAATTAGGTCGAGAGGTACTAATTTCAGATTTTTTTTTATTTCGATAAAACTGTTGGATACTTTTATTCAATTTTGAAATGGACTTTTAGAATGTATTTTCTTCATTTCGAAAATTTCATTCTAAAATGATGGGAAGGTGTTTAAAAATTGTATTAAATATAAAAAAAAAAAACTTATGTTATTAAGTAAACATATTATTTTTCGAAAGGAACGGGTTAAGCTCCAATTCACAATTTCACTAGTATCCATGACAATAAAGAATAAAAGTTAAATAGGGATTAATAAATAAATTCATTTAATATTTTAAAATACCTTTCTAATTTATTTTTACTTTGAAATCATTCTTCTTCTTTTTTAAACATTTTTTCTCACTCTCTTTCGTCTCTCACTTGCCCCTTCCTCCGTGGCTTTTGTCACTCCCACTTACTCAACTGCTCATCCACAAATCCTCCCTCTTACATATTTTTGGAATGTGAAATAAACTTAAAAAAATAATTAGAACGTACAAAAAATGTTTTGTACAATAATTTAATCATTAATTGTTAAATAAATAATATTTATAATTTTCCTAATAACTTGGAATTGGAAACAACTTACAAGGGTAATTAAGAGAAATTTTGTATTTTTAGACTAAAACTCACTTATTTTATATTTTTTACTTGTAATATTTTTTTAGCAATTATTAAGTAAGGGCACCAGTAAAAACTAATTTGAGACTTTGATTTATTTTAAAAGAAATTAGTTATAAATCCTTCTTCAGTATTTTTCTATTAATAATCTTGCTTCCTTGCCTAACATGATTTTTTTTTGTCATTATAATGGCCATGATTAGCCATTTTTAGTAAAAATATTTCTCCATGTTATTTTTACTTATGACACAAATATAAATCTTGCTTAAAGAAATTGATATGAGTGTGACTTAAAAGATAATAATTACTTTATTATGAACACATGAAATGTTGTTAACACACATTTAATTTTTAATTTTTTCCATTTAATATTTTTCGATCACAATTATTTTCGAACTCACTATGTCAAAGATTAATTTGTAAATTGTTCATAAATTTGAGGGAAGTAATTACCCAATTCACCATAAGCAGTGGATGACGATTAAAACAAAGCAGCCCTTTGTTGAATTCATTTTATTCATCGATCATATATTTTTGAATTTAAACAACAAACAAAACATATAGGAGCCAAATCCGATACCACCTTTGTTCACAACCAACTGGCCGAAGCATTGCACCCTCAATTTCGTCACTATTTATATCCATAACACCATAAAAACTCACAATCAGCAAAAGGGAACCTCATATATGGCTCCATCACTCAAATTCTCTATTTTCTCAGCTTGTGTTTTGGTTCTGTGTGTGGTGGTTGCTGCTCAATATGGAGATGATGGTGGATCAGGCTATGGCTCTGACATGCCCAACATGAATATGGGTCCTTCAACTCAGCACTCAAGTGCTTTTCCAACAACCCTTATTTATCCTGCAATCATAACTATTATCCTTCCCTTTGTGCTCACCTTTCTTGCAGACTTTATTTAAATACCTTTGCACTAAGATTTTCCTGGTTTCATATTTTTTATGCTCTCGTTTTAGTGGCCACGTGTTGTGTCTATGTTTTGTATTTGTCGTCATATCATTCTGTTCTGGACTTATGCTATACTCAAGTAATAATACAAATCTTTATTTTGCTAGCCGTTGGGCTATATCTATACTGTATAAATAATATGGATTTGGTTAATTATAATTTTCGTTTTTGTTTAATATAGTCGTGTTTTTTTAATACGATGAATATTAAGTTCATTGATGAATCTTCTTATAAATTGAGAAAAATCATGTTTTTTAAAATTTCATAACTATAGTATAATTTATCATTTTAATTTTTTTAGATTTAACGATCATTTAATATATTTAATTATACATTTATAAATTTTTTATATTTATTTATTATTTATTAATAATATATTATTTAATTATGAAATTAATAATTATTATAATTAATAAATATTTAGTAAGATGATTAAAACGATTAATCTTATGATAATTAAAAAATATAAAATTATTAACAAATGTAATAGTATTAGCCAAATTTCCATCTATTTAGTTTAGAAGTAACATGTATTAATGGAAGAAAATTACTTGAGGATGTAATTATCATTCTTCAATTTACCAAGTTTGTTTTAATGGTTTAAAATACAGAGCAGAGCAGAATTCCACCTATCGATTATTGAAATCATCCTTCAAGTTTCTTAGCAATTGTTTAGCCTTTTGCAAGATTGTAATTAATATCACTTTTGTGCGTCAAATTTCAAATAAACTTCCTCCTGTCAACATGTTTAGTTTACTGTGGTATTTGGTAATCGAGTCACTTTATATAAGTTTCGAAGTAAAATGTAAAATTTCACTCTTCTTCCACAGTAACAACTGTGCCTTACCCTCCAATTCTTCACAGATATTAACTTCAACTTTCATTTATTAATCATTGGAAATTGAAGAGAGAAGGCTGGACCAGAGACAGTGCCTTGTGGGTGCATGTGTGGATAAGAGGATTAGGCACTACATCATGTGTGAACGTTGAATTATATAATGCTCAATATACAAATTTTTCTACAAAACTTTATAACATTATTTATTATCTATAATACTCTTCATAACATCATTATCTTTTTCAATAGATTCCATTAATTTTTTTAATACTTATAATTATAGTCATAAATAGTAGCACTGCCTAAGTTACACAGTTTATGAATGAAGAAAACAATTCAAGTAAGTTGCACTACGTTTGAAGGGCCCCTTTTTAAATTTGAAACAACAAATGGCAACAATTAAGAAACCCTGGCCAGCTAGTGATCTGGCTCTTAGTAGCGGGGACAGTAGTATTAAGACTTTTGTAGCTGTCGCATCCACATTGGATGCATTCTCATTTATTCATTAAATACGGTGTCCAAATAACAGAATACCTTTTCATTTGTTGTTTCATTGCATTTGCATCCAATTAAGTTGATTCCACACCTCATTGGGTCATTATTAAGAAAAGTTTGGTTGTAATAGGAATTTTCAAATAATGCATCATTTTCAATACCCGCTGAAGCCAAGCTTAGACTATAAAGTTTAGTTTGTTAGACAACATCCCTCCACTTCCTTTTGTCTTAATTTTATCAAGGTTCTAAGGAAGCATTGCTGCTATTCACATCGTTCGCTGTAAATTGTCCTCTGGGGACATCATAGGGTATTAAATAATAACTTCATTATACTACCAAAGCTCCAGCTTGGCAATGAATATATGAAATAATAAAATACACAATCCTCAGCTAACAATTGTTGCACTGATAATCATAATTTCCAGCAAAAGTTAAGGTTATAAGAAATAATCGAAAGTTTATCATAAAAATGCTAGATGAATCATTATGGGAATTGAAGATGGAACGGTCAAAAAATAAAGTAAAATAAAAGGCTACACGTGATAGACATAAGGTTATATAAGCTAAAATGTAAGCTGCAGTAACTACACTCAGCCCAAATCCAGATATTAAAGATTACAAAATTGAAAATACCATTAAGCAATGAATCACACTTGGATTCCCAACAGAAAATATCTGACCCTATCCTCCAATGATTTGCCATTACTTGTAAACAAAATTACAACCCGCGCAGAGAGTTAATCATGCTTCATCAATAAATCAAACAATTTACAAGTACCAATTCTTAAGATGAGCTACAGAGAGACAAATAAAAGGAAAGGGGTAAAGGATTATACATAAACAATGAGTTGTTGTCATCCTTGACAAGATTGAGTGCCAGACAAACAAAACCTTCTAACAACATTTGACTGTTGCTTTGTCAAAGCCTTCTTCTTAACTTGCACGAGTACTAAATAATCGAAAGGGTGTAGATCAACTGATTACGGTTTTACAGAGGAATGCTTAATTTTCCAATTTTCACCTTAGCAAGCCTTCCTCTTATCAACTCTTAAGTGGAGGTTATACCATTTCTTCTTCTTTGGCCGATCTCTTGTACTCCTCTTCTCTCTTGTTTGGCCATCTTCTCTGCTCTCCTTGGAAGAACTTTTACTTCTGCTCTTACTTGTACTCCGTTTTAAGGGAGTAATAGTGTACGATGCATGTATTTCATTCCTATGCTTCAGTAACTCGTCAATCTGCACAGGAATAAATAGCACAAGTTCAGTGGCTTCCATTTGATAATTTTTTGTCCCAAATAAGGGGAGGGGGATCGGGTGGATGCTGCATAGAAACCTATGTAAAATAAGAACTCACTGATTGAATTTCATGTGCATATCTGCTTGTCATCTCTGAGAATTGAGCCAGAACCTAAAAAGACCCAGCATGAGACTTGACGAAAAGTAATGTAATTATAGTCATACAGATCAAAGTGCCCACCTCTCGATATTCTGCCTCAAACTTTGATATTTCGGCCCTTTTAGACAAAATTTGAGCTTCTATACTTCTTAAATTTTCTTTTTCTTCACTAAAAGGTGCAGCACACAGCGCTTCTATTGTATAATTTGCACTTTTGAAAAAGTTGTCGCCTAGAAGAAATTTCATAGTCAATTCCTACGTCGCAAAAATTACAGCAACCAACATAACAAGCAGCACAGGCTCACTGGGCATAAAAGTAAGCATTTACCATAAACAGCGAATACATGGGTACCAGCCTTCAATTCATTTAATTCACAAGGCTGAAACCCATCCAGCTTTCTGAAAAATGATGTGTCAGGATCCTTAGCAGCAGCTATCTGTAGAGAAATAATTCAACAATCAAATTTTTTAAATGGTAATACAGCGACAAAATTTAAATTGATTCCTGTTACAGTAGCTACTCACAGAGTTCATTGTTTGGTCCAATCGATAAACAGGAAATCCAAGAAAATACATCCCAGCAGAGGTAACCTTCCCGGTTTTTGCACTGTCTTCCTACAACAACAATTAGCAATGTACTCAAGTCAAAATATGCCAGAGAAAGAAAATAAAGTATGACTATGAAATAACTACCTGAGAGCCATTAACATCCAATGAGTAAACATTACGTCAGAAATAATTAATTCTCTGGGAAAAATACAAGCATTATGTATAATACCTGAAGTGCAAGACTTAAACCACCATTGTCTTCCTGATCGAAATACAATAACTGTCGAAAGATAATCAAAGTATCAAACATAAAAAAAGAGATCATTTATAAACTGAACACAATAATGTTTTTAAACATTAAAATTATATGAAAATCATCTAGAACAATAGTATAAATACACATAATTGTTTTAAAATATGGGAGGAAAAGGGAATATTTTTGAACTGTAAAAACAGAAGACAAAAGTAAATTACACAGCCAAGGGATAGTTCACTATTTTTCAGGGATGGAATCTCAAGTAAACCTAGCTCCCTAATATGCACTAAATTAGAAACAGCTTCAACAACTAATTAGTCTTGTAGTTGCACTTAGAAAAAATTGAAATTCTTGGACATTTTTATGATTCAACTTCCACTTTTTCTTCTATTTTCTTATAAAACTTTTGATGTGTTGAGAACACCCACTCCCAAAAACTAATCTTGTAAGAAAGAAATAGAAAATTCTGTAAAAAAATCAGTTTCCATAAGGGAAAAAAAAAATCTTAATATAGTCTGGTTGAGCATAACTCTTGTGCAACCTTTACTGTATAACAGAGACTAAATTCCAACCTTAAACTTGCTTTTATCTGACGATTGTACTCGGCAAACAAATCCAGCTCGTGCCTCCTCTTCTGTTATTGTAACTGAATAGAAGTGTGCACATTGCTTCTCAACCTGTAAGATGAAGGCGCCAAAACAAAAAACAAATGTACGAAAACTATCACTAAAAAGTGATCAATAAATTGGGAAAAAAAAAATAAAAAATAAAAAAGAGGCAGCTCACCCTTTTCGACATATAATGTCCTAATGGAAGTGGACGAATGGTCACTAAACCATTGAGTGCCTCTTCCAAAATAGATGCAGATACAGTTGTCTTAATTGGCACGCCAAGTTTACTGTCATGCATGGAGAAAGTAAATGATGAAAAGGAGGGAAGAATTAGAAAGCACAAGGTAATATGTAGCAATGTTCTAAACATTCAACAAAACAAAAGGATTTGAAAGTGAAGAGGAAAAGAAGCACATTCAATCTTGCTACCTAAAAAGTGCTGCAAACATTGTATTGACAGCACCCAAACTTGAAAGATCTAACTCCAACTCTTGGTTGTCTGATTCAACAGCCTATACGTAGACATGACACACACAGTTCATTACAGATGATCCATGGAAAGAGGTTCAAGACTATTTTCTCAGCAATATAGTTTCCAGACAAATTTGGGACAGAGTTGAAATCTTCAAAAAGCAATGAAAAATGACCATCCTCAATTCTTGAAACAATCTTATATCACCTCAAAGCCAGCTGAGTCGTATTGACGCCGTTTGTCAGGATCTGAGAGAATATTATAAGAAAAGGTAACCTCTTTAAACATATCAGCTGCTTTAGGATCATTTGCATTCTTGTCCGGATGATATCTGAAATGAAATTGATTTAGCTAATTAATAAATTAACCAACCTTGTTCAGAGCTTTAGATGAAAATAAGACAGGAAGGAAGGTCAATTAGAGTGATCCGATACGCCAGAAAGAGATTTGGTTTGTACAAACTTTATCATCAAGACTTACAGTAAAAAAAATAAGAAAAATAAATGAAATGAAATGAATTTCTCCAAAAGATAAAATTAGCTTGGAAGCTCTCTCATATGACATCTCTAAATATTTTGTTTTTAGCTTGTGCATAAAATAATTTTAATTTACCACGAAGTTCGTTTCGTTTTTCTTTTCTCATTTTTCTCTCCTAACTGTCCTTATGGAGAAATTCATTTCATTTCATGTTATTCTCCGAAAACACTTTTAATACATTAAGTTTTACTGTAAGCTGTTATGTGAGTTGTTTCAGATGCATGATGACATGATCAGTGATTCAGAGGCTTCGTTCCTCCATTATTTGTGGAGATTTATTTGAGCTTATCAAGAGGAACAATTAGCAAGTATGAAAAAAGAAAAGCACTCTGTGATTTTTAAGGGGCTTTTGTCTCTCTCCTTTCCGCTACTAATATGAACTATATCATCTAAAATTGATTATAACACCAAAAGTATAAAACGGCCTTCTATGCACCTTGCAAACAATTAAGCATAAATAATATCAACCACACCAAGAAAGCTCAGAACACTATTTTCACCAATCATCTACTCTACACACACACATATTGAAAAAAAAAAAAAAGTAAGACCGAGATTTAGCAAGGGGTTCTGCAGCAGTGTCAAAGTCTTGACCAAAGTGGCTGCAGCAGCGTCTTCAATCAAGAGACTCTGAGAATTAAAATAAAACGTATTTATTTCGTAAGTAACATTAGCATCGGCCAGATGAACGATTGAAGGAAGAAGAACACGTTTCAAACACATAAATAACAATATTCAAAAATCTTAATCCAATATATAACAGCAGAGACTCCATTACTATCTTCACTGTCAGCACACTCAAAACAAACAACACCACAAATTCAAAAAACCACAAAAGCAACACCGCGAGAGGGGAGTCGAAACGCACTTGAGCGCCATTTTGCGGTACGCAGTTTTGATTTCCTGATCCGTGGAGTTGCGCGAGACGCCGAGGACCTCGTAGGGGTCCCGCCGGAGCTGCTTCTCGCCGTCGTCGAGCTTCTCCGACTTCGAGCGGTGCCCCGGCATCCTGCACCGCTGTCAAATCAAACGACGTCGTGCTCGCGTGTTATCCGGTCTGCGGCAAAACCCTAGAACAAGGGAACAGAGAGAGAGAGAAGAGTCTCAGGGAGAATCAAGATCGAGACGGTAAGGTTGGGGAGGGAGTGGTATCTTCCCGCGCGGGTGAGTTACGGGGAAGGGGAGAGATTGAAGAAGCATTGAGAAGATGTGGCGGTGACGGTGAGATCCAGAAAGTGGACCATGGACCCTCCAAGCTGCAGCTGAACTTCGGAGGAAGAGAGAGAAAAAAACAAGAGACAACAAAGAGAACCAGAATTGGAGGGGAAATTAAGAAAAATCGTTTTTCTTTTTTATTTTAAAATTTTAAATTAGTTTTTCACACCATTTAAACTTGGATGTGATTTTGAAAGGGAGTGGCGTTGCGGGTAAAGTATACCAGGTGCGTAGTGCGCACGGGCAGGTCGACGTTTGACAACTCGGTCTCAACTGACACCTAGCGCAGTTGCGGATTCTGATATAGAGAGAGATTTGTTGCATTAAATTATGGTAAATGCGTTTTAATAAGGTGGTGTTAAGTTAATTAAGTTGGTTATTTCTGAAAACAAAAATTTATGCCGTCATAATTGCCTTTCTATTTTTATACTGCTGCGGAGTAACCTTTTTGTTAACCTACTTTTGTTTTTATTATTCTGAAACAATATTCTGGACTATTTATCTTTATTATAAATTTATTTAAAAAGTTGTCAATGATCAATTTAAATATAAAGAAAAATTAATGAAGCATTTGAAGTCTAAAATTAATTGTTCTATTTAAATTCGCATCTTGAGTATTGTAATACATCCTTTCCGGGCACTTTTTTTTTTTACTGAAATTTATTAAAATATTAAATTGAAAAAGATTAAATGAGTATTAGAGACTATGGTTAGTATGTTCGTAACATTTCATATATAATAAAATAGTTAGTCTAGTATATTTTAAAAGTTATATTTAACATAAATCCTAATTAATATCATAGAAATATATTAAAAATATATAAAGTTATACTCACAATTAATTTAAGTATTTTTTTAAATAAGAGTATTTATGAAAAAAATAGACTCAATTTAGTTTTTCACATTTAAAAATCATTCAATTACTTTTTTTACCACTAAGTATTAAATTTGAAAACTTAAAATGATATTTTTAAAAAGGTTTTAGTTACACAATAGTAAATTTAAGATATTAAAATTATTATTTTTTTATAATTTGAGAAATATAAACGACATTTTTAATTTTAAATTTGGGACTAAAATATTATTTAACCCAAAAATATTATCTTTTTTATTAAGTTAACGATTTTTCCTTTAGTTGAATATTTAATTTTATATTTTTCAATAACTCCTATGTTATATATTAAAAAAACAGTATTTAATGAAAAACATACGATTGCATTCGTGTTATTTATATCTTAACAATTTAATTCGAATATTACAACACAATAAATAAATAACATTAACAAAACCACATAAAAATGTATCGTGTCGTATTGTACATCAAAACAAATCATATAAAAAAAAATGTGTAAAAAAAAAAAAATTATCTTGTCAATCATGTTCTAACTATTTATTGTGTATCTGTAGCGAGGTATGTCCTATATTTGAATTTGTTATCGTTTTTAAACAGTGCTTGTGAAGGTCTTGTTAAGCCTATTTTAAGTGAAGGAAAAGATAATTTTGTTTGGATGAAATTTTAATTTGCAAGAATTTTTCCAAGTATAAATTTTTATTATTTAATTTCATAATTATAGTAGTAGGATTTGTTAAATTTATAACTGCTTATAAATAATTTATATTTTAAAAAAAATATGAATTGATTTTAATTTGTGTAAAAATTGACTTTAATTTTATTTTCTCTTGTGAACTTTATTAAAATAATTCAAACTAACTTCAATTTTGTTGTTAGATTTACTAACTCAAGTTTACTTCTTCAGTTATTTGATGGATGTTCCTTATTTTTCTTTTTTTGTTGAATTTGAGGTTTTGTGTTCATAGGAAACATCTTCAGAAGACAATTTCATCAAAAGGACAATTAGACATTAATATACGGATACATTTTCTAACAAAAATTCAAACCTTGATTTACCGTGAGTGGAAGGTTAACCTTCATTACTATACTAAAGTTTCAATGGTAACTAAGCTTCCAATAACTAGTACTATTTGTTTGTTTGTTTTTTAATTGTCTTCAACATAAAAAAAAATGAACATTAATTTAAAATATAATGAAATTAAAAGATTTTTTTTTATAATATTATCTCTAACATATTATTTATCAATATTATAATTTAAGATATATTAGTTCAGAAAAGAAAACTAAATGATGGTAACTAAATTTTTTTAGCATATTTTTCATATTAAAAATTAGAAGGGTAATATAAAACTCATTTAAAATAACTTGATTGAAGAAAAAAAATACTTCTTAACATAATATCAATTTTTTTGTTTTAATCAATAAAATAATTCTATTTATACAAAAGTCAAATATATAAATAAAAATATAAAATTAAATAGATAAATAAAATATTTTAAAACAATATTTAGTGTATCATTTTTAAAGTTTATTTTGTGTTAATTTTAATGATATATTATTTACTAAAATGAAAAAGTAATTTTTTTTAATGAAAAGGCAAATTTAAGGGAACAGAGTATCTTAGGTGAAATGAGAAGATAACGTAAAAAAACAATTGATCATTACAAGAGTAATTTGGTCGTCTCCAAATTTCTTTGACTAAATATTTTTTTAATAATTCACATAAATCAAATCTGTTACAAATTTTAACTAACTTTCTCTCTTTTTTTTTTACATTCTCTAATATTTTTCTTTTAATCTAGATATCCTTATTTTTTCACTTCTCTTCCTCTTAAAATATATCTCTAATTCAAAGCTTTAAAATGTTAAATAATGATTTCTTTAAAAATCGTATTTTATTGCTTTTGAATGTTTTTTTAGTTGGGTTGATTATGCTTGACCAAACTTGTGGTGTTTATTTTAAGGTATATAAATTAGAAATAACATTTTGAAATATTGCACCAAAAGTACTATTTTTAAGTAAATTCAAAAGCACACGCTAGTACTTTTTTTTTAATAATTTTAAAACCAAAAAGAAATTGTGTACAGATAAATTCGTTCTCATATTACGAGAACATACGTACCGTTTTTTATTTTTGAAGTAACCTAACGGTTCTGACAACAAAAGCAACTTTCGTCGTTGTAGGGGTGCATTATTGGTTTCTTCCTCCATGACAGAAGGTGCACGGAGAGATTGCTTCGGTGCTTTTAAAATAGTTTTGTTCTACGAAAGTTTCAAGTTTAAGCCAGTGTGGGAAGGGTGAAGCATAATTAATGTTATGGCTGAAAAATTATTAGCAATAACTATTATTAATGTTACAAAACTAAGCAATTGTGATAACAATCAGTATAATGGCCTCATAGTCATTTTCACTATGATTCCTAATTAATTAAGTAATTAATTAGCCTTTTCAAGGTAGAATTGAATGAGAAACTTTTAGAGTTTGATTTGACATATTTGGAAGACCTTAAATTCTGAGGACATTACAGCATATGAGTCACAAATTATTGGAGCCCCCACTTTGGTAAGGTAAACTGAGTAAATATGATTGGGATAATGCTAAAGAGGACAAGCTAGCTAGTTTTGCTACAGGCACAAACTGCAAAAGGGTCTGCTGGCAAATCTGAAAAGGTGACTCTTAAAACTAGAAAGTTTACTTTTGTGGGTTCAAGAAATGACATCTTAAAAGCTGTGTTTCAAGCATCTGTTGTTGTTGGTAAGTAAACCTAGGCATTTTGATTTACCATTTTGCAAATTATTACATCTAATGATTGTTGTTTTACACAAATTATTAACAAGATTCATACACATAGTATCTTAATTTTTAAGAGGGTAAGTATGACTATTTTTACATTAAAATTACATTATGAATAAATTAGACTTTACTTTTAATAATATTTCAATTTTTATAATTACAAAAAATTTCATCTAGGGTTTATTTAAAAAAAAATTAATATTGAAGATGAAAAATATGCACAAGTAAATGTAAATGGATTGTGCTGCAAAATTAATCACACATATAATTTAACAATTGAAAAATATTAAAACCAGGCTAAAAGGAAGATGTTTATAATATAAGTTCACATTTTTTAAATTGGGTTCAATTTTAAATAGGTCACATAGGACTCAAAATTTAAAATTTCATCACTCCTTTTAATTACATATTTTATAATATAAAGAAAATAATTTCTCAACTCAAATATATAATATTCACTAATATTTTATAATATAAAGAAAATAATTTCTCAAATCAAATATATAATATTCATTAAAAAAACATATTATCTATGATAAAAATGCACTCCTCTATATTATATTTAGATTATTTATTATATTTTTAAAAGTTTAAATCGACTCGATGTTCAACCACTAAATTATTAATATATTCTAATAATAAATTATATAAAATATATAAATATAAGATATACAAATACAAATATATTTATATTTTAACATTACTTACTGGACAATATTAATAATAGATAATTTATAAATAAAATTATGTAGATAATATTTGTATGCAATATATAATTTACCTACTGAAATTTTATCCGTAGGTAATCTTTTATAGATAATAAGTTTTTTATTAATGATTTTTTTTAATAAAATTATAATTAATTTAGCTTAGTTATATTATTGTTTTTATTTTTTTATATAATTCTATTTAATATTATTTTAATTTTAGTAATCACATGTAGTAGATTCTTATAATAAGAATTGATTTGAATATAGGCAAATTCTTTTTCAAGAATAGGTCCAACCACTTTGTTAGTTTGGTTACCATTATTGTACGATATGCAACGATTTTTACTAGAACTATGTAAACGAAGAATTCTGGTACCTTGAAGAAAAAAATTAAATATAATCAAGTAAAATAGAGAAACAAAGGAAAGTAAAAAAAATAAAAAAAATTATATTATTATCAAAATATTGTGTTGTTATAATATATATATATATATATATATATATATATATATATATATATGAGAGAGAGAAAAACTCCAAAGTAAATAATTGTGAATTCGAAAATCAATGGTCAAACTTATGAACATATCAACTTATTAAAAATTATTCCTGACTTAATAATTTTATTACGGTAAAATAATTATATAATGTTTTTGTTTTCTATAACTCTATTTATTTAATGTTAATAATAATATTAAAGCACGTAAATATAATTAATTAAGCGTTTAAAGATAGAATAATTAACTTGATTATTTTATCGAAAACTGTCACAGACTGCAAAAGTGGTATGTAATAGATATCTTCTATTACTTATGATTCAGCCCCTTTTAAAATCATTATTATTCAAAGATTATTAAAGAAATTGGTACATCGTAATAGGTCCACTAACTAATTTTTTATTTATCCATGAATTTGATATCTATAATATTTAATAAAAAGATTACGTGACATTTATTATTATCACATTGATAATTTGTTATTGACATAATCTAAGTTATTTTGTCCCACTCCTTGGTTAACTAAAAAAAATATTGCGACCAGTTAAAAATTACCACCCACCCCTAAAAATTTAAAAAAATAAAAGAATAAAAATAAAGAAAAAATTATTTATTCTAATTCATAAATTAACCGAAATTAATAAATTTAATTAAAAGACTTTAGTTCAACTGCCTCCTCCTAGCAAGCTGAGCCATCTACTTGTAAAGATTAATCTTTAAATATATATATATATATATATATAATACTTACAAGTTAATTTTGTATTTTATTTATATAAAAAAACGTGTCTTGCTGATCAGAAAAATGTTAATTTATCAATACATTAATTTAATTTCTTAAAAAATTAAAATATTTTTCTTCTTATTTTATTTTTCTAAAAATATTTGTTCAAATCTTGCAATCACTAACAACAAACTTTTTAAGGACTATAACTTGCCATTTTCCATATTATTTACGATATCAGTTTCAGTTTTTTTTTTATTGAATAAAATTAATTTATTTTATATTAATTTGTAATACAATATTAAATTAAAGAGTATCAATTTATGTATATATTTACAAACAAAAAAATCACTATCTTTATAATTTTAATGTGTATTATGAGTCCACAAATTAGTAAAAAACAAAGAAAATTTTGAATAGTTTAACCTAGAATTTTGAAATAAATTCATTATTGAAATCGAATTTGACTACACAATTCAACATTTAAAGAAGCATTGATTTGTTCATTGAAGCAACTTGAGTGTTTACAATTAATAATAATTAATAGTGATGAATTTGGCTTTATTATCATGTCTTTTTCTCTCTGTCATTTGTTAATTATCATTTTAATATATTTTCAATCACACAACTGGTTAATCAGTTAACCTAACCAATGGATGTTATAAAATTTTCTAAGAAGTGACAATGAACAATGATGAAAATGATATTTCAACAAATATATAAAAGAAGGTCATTACTATAAAGAGATTTGGAGGAATAACCTTCATTTTATTTATTTGGATTTGAATGAATATTAAACTTAAACTTAAGAATATTTTGAGATGCTAAAACAAGAACAAAGTTGCCTCATAATTAAGAGGTAGGTTCCATTTGAGTCAGTTCTAATAGAAGCATGGAATCTTCAAACAAAAACTAAACATCATCTATCATTATCTATCATTATCCTCAGCACTATCTTTCTCTGTTTGATGCTCATGTACGGCTCTCTAATGAGTCAACAAAATGGACATTACAACCTTAATTTCTTAAAACTCATCTGAAACTAAAAACAAAACAATAAAATACTTAACCAAAGTTGTAGTGCATCAGAAAAAGAATACACTCAACAAAGTGGAGCATTGTATGAAAATGGTGAGATTCACTTTCTTTCTCTGTTACATTGATCAGTCATGCTGCTTAACGTATTCCATACTCAACAAAAATGAAACTGATGAAATTAATGAATTTGTTTGTGTGTTACGATCAATTAAATTAATCCTCGTAGTAAATACTGAGTCAACCATGAAGTTAATTGGAAGAAGAACAGGATCATCAAGTGTTAGATCAAACAATTCAAATTTGTCACAACAGTCTGATTACTGTTTCAAAAAAAGGTTTGAATGAAATCAGTGGCCAAAAAACTTGCCTTTGTGATGCTGATATTGATTCCATTATCCAAAAGGGTGGTTATTCGTGGCAATTGTAATGAAGTAGGACTAAATTGTCGAACCCAAAACGACAAAGGAACACAACAATTGTAATGTTCAACTTTCTGGAGACTTCGAACGTGAACTCAAATGCCAATCTCCTGCTGCTGTCGGCATACAAGTCAAAACGTAAAAAAATTTATATGCTTTTATTATAATCTTCTTCATATTGTTCCTACTTTTTGAACTAATAAAAATATTTGTGAATTAGTTAAATAATTTAAAACAATCTCTTCTGCTTAAAACTTATTTTTTAAAAATTTGTCCTCTTAATAAAACATCAATTAACTTCACTCTTCACAAATACCTTTAAATTTAATAAATTTGTTTAATTTTAAGTATTTTATATATATCATTTCGACATTTTAGTGGAAAATAAATATTTGAGGTCTTGTGGTGAGAGCTAAACAAATGAAGAAAAGGAATCCGTTTGCAATAACTGTAAAAACTTAAAAAGAAAAAAAAACAAATTCAATAATAAAAAAAACATTTATCGGTCACTACTATACATTAAATGCAGATGATCAACATTGCTATATGATGATAAATGTAAGATTAATATGAATGAACTAAAATAGTAAAAATTAAATGCAAGTGAACAAAATAAAGAGAAACCAACTTAAACAAATATAAAATATAATGGAGTATTTTATTTTTATTTGTAGATGTTATACGTATCTTTTATTAAAGGTAATAATATTATTTGATATAGTTATTTTTAAACAGATTATTTGATATAGATATGACAACTATGGTTAAGAGTATTTATCTTCCAAATATTTAATATATGGAGAATTTAAACTTGTACCTATTGGTTAAACTTGACACCTCACACACTAATCGAGTAAAGCATTTAATGATAGTATTTGGTTTGTTTATAAAAATAATTTTAGAAAATAAATCAAAATTATATTTATGTATACATATTTGAATTATTAATGTAAAATGTCAAAAAATTAGTAAATAGGAGAAATTTAAAAATAAATAGAGAATTAAGGATACCTACTAAAACACTACTCT